AGACCTTGGGGCGGTCGATAGCAGCGGGGGCCTCAGCGGTGGCCGAGTTGTAGCGGTAGAGACCGACAGCGACACCGGTGATACCAACGGCGGCGTAGATGGGGGCCAGGGAAGACTTGCCCTTGGGCGCTTCCGTGGAGTACTTGCGGAAGCCCTGTGGTAAGCCGGAATTAGCACAAAATTCGGTCGTCGGTAGAGATCGGGAAGGGCTGAAAGGGTAGGAGAATAACAGCGCTCAGGTGATGAGGGAGGAAACATACCTGCTTGAGGGGCTGGGCGCAGCGGAAAGCTTGACGAGCGAACATTTTGAATGAATGACAGACACCAATGCGTGCTCAATGGGTGGTGGGAGGAAGAGGGAAGGTCAAGGGAGCAAGAGCGGAGGGAAGAGGACCTTCGGCAAAGGTAATTACTAGTCTCAAGCTCCTCCCTCTCGGACTCCGAGACGCCGTTTCCGCACATGACGCAATGGGGCCGCTCGCGTGCCTGGCGTTTTACTAATTACCAACTGACATTTGATGAACATCTCCATACTTCTGTAACTATTCTCGATGGATAAAAGACTGAAAATGCTCTATGCTGGGGTGATACATTCGGCAGTTTGAACCACACACCCACCATAAGATCTCCCAGAATGGCCTCCCTTACAGAACATATTCTACCTGCAATATGGCCGAGCGCCAGCGGATAAATTCATACCTGGAATCGAACCCTGTTTCTGTAGATACTTGACCGAATCTCTGCCTAGCTGGCTTTATTTCAGAAATTACAGTCTAGAACGCAAGAATAATCGCTCTACTGTGTATGTACGCCAAATGCCTAGCAGGATCTGTTGTCCACAAGCCGTCGTTATACAGGCGAAATTGTCAAAGGTTTCTTGTGGAATGACTGGCCCCCGACCGAGTGGATAGACTAGACACAATTAGTGCCACTAATACCTGGAGGATAACGAAGTCATTGAGGCAAGAAGCCATGATGTCAAGCGTGTTATATGTTTTCCCACTGCCACCCTCGACATCCGACGGATATACATGGCTAAACCCGAGCCAGCCAGAAACGCCACCGCGACTAGGCTTTGTCAGTCCCACAAATATGCCTATAATATTGGAACAAAAAATAACGTTCCGCATGCTAGGCTATATTCGCAGGTATTAGATAAACCGAACTGGCAAACAATCTGGGGAAGCATGAATAGGGGTTTGTTGCATACATATATCGAAAACCCCCAAATTGTGTGTTCCGGATATAGATATTATGGTAAGAATTTCGATCCTCGTGGAATAGCAGGACCAACACTACGCAAAGCGTTCTACGATGTCTACAGTACGCTATGCCCCGTCCAAGAATAAACAGAAACAATACCCCGGTATTTTTTGATATAACTTGAAAGGGTCGCTGCAGAGGACTTAAAGAGACATAAAAACCATCCGTCCCATTACCTGGGTTGAGGAAACACGCCCTGTCCGCGTGCTCCGTGTCCTTCGTGCATGCTATGGCCATAACATAGTCATTCATCCACACACTCCGATCACCCAAACCCAAAACGTCACATTTACGCGAAAGTAGAGGGACGAGAGTAAGCGAACACCTTCTTGCCGTTGGCAGCACGGTGGGGCAGGGGGAACTTGAGGTTCTTGGAGAGGAGCTGCTTGATGTAGGGGCGGCGGATGCTGTCGGCGTTCTCGATCTCAACAACCTTGAGGATCTGTAGGAACGTAGTTAGATTGCGATATTCCTCGGTAAAAGAGGATAGGAATCTCAACGTACGTGGATGGAGCCGAAGCGGGCACGGTGACGGGCAGCCATGTCCTGGTAGAGAGCCTCAACAGCCTCGGTGCGGCTCATCTCACGGAACTCCTTGTACATGTTGTGGGTGCCGGAGCGGGAGTCGTAGCGGAGCCAGATACCGAAGTTCTTGACCTTGGTAGGGCGCTTCTCGCTGATCTATTGGAGGAGAAAAAAGACAGGCGTCAGCCAACACTGCCAACTTGTCGCTTTATAACGGCCACACATACCACATTGATGCTGACGATCTCACCGTTGGCCTTCTTGACCTTGCGGAGCTGGGTCAGGAAGTACCAGAACCGGGACTTAGCGACAACAGTGTTGGGCGCAAAGATGCGCATGCGGTACAGCTTGGGCGTGGGGTTAGCCTCGGTGGGCAGGTGACGCCCAATGACCTGGTACTCGGTGAGACGCCCTATGGATCCCAGTCAGCCATGTCCTCCCATCCGATGAGAACTGCCTCGTGCAATGGTTTCAGTCGTTGCGTATATTCCGTGCGAAACGTTGTTGACCGTTGTGCGAGTTGCCGATACTTCTGCGATTATTTCATGTGTGCGCCACGATATCGAAAATTTCGTCCTCCCATATCAGTCGTCCAAAGTTGAAGATTCCACCCATCATTCTTGCTCCCAATCGATTCCAATCCAATTTCAAACAAGATTTGTATGATCCGATGTCGCCGAGATAGAATGATGCCGTAAAGAGTCGTTCAACGATCGCAGGGGGAACATCGCAATAGCCGATCCACCATTGGGAGACAATATTGGAATTCTGGAAAATTTCACTCACCCATCTGGTAAATTCAGTCAGTAACAAATTCAATATGTCGATGAGCAGATCAAAAAGGTAGGGCTTACTTTGATTGTTGACGCTGTAGTGGTTAGTCGACGAGAGGTGTGCCGGCTGCTGGACTCGTCGCGGAAAGGAGGATTTTTGGAACAGTTGATTGTGAGCTAGGTTTAGCCCTGCTTAGGGCTAAGCGACGATGTGGCTTGGTAACCCACCTTGCCTATTTTGGAACACTAGCCACAGCCAAGGTGGCAGCAATGATTAGATAACACGGATTCCCTGAGCGGCGCCGCAGTTTCCCCACCTTCGCCCGATCGCGTCCGCGGCTGGCCTCATAGACCTGGAACTCCTGTCAGTGACGCCGATTGTTGGTCTCCGTGGCTCGGACGAACGATCGCCGTGAATGCATGTCCGCTGTTGAACCTTTCCCCTCCTTCCCCGCGACCTACCTCTACACCCTTGCAGTCATCAACCATGTCCAACATCTTCGATGATTTCAAGGAAGGCCAGAAGATCGGCTCTGGCGCCCGCCTGGCGGCATCTCTCTCCCCCGTCGCGACTGCGGAGTACCCCGACCGTCTGAAGTCATTCTACTACTTTTCTAACGCCGTACATGTTTCCGCCGACCTCCGATACTCGCTCTTCCAAGCAAATGGCCTGAGGCTTCCCAAGCAAGAACAGAACTCGTGGGTCGATATCTTTACCGCTTATTGGAAAGCCGTGGGGGAGATTGTTCGTTTCGACGACTCCCCAAGACATGCTAGCTGGGTGAAAGTGTTCGATGCGTGGAAGGATACGGCAAATCAATTGATTAGGGGCTACTCGACAGGCAGTCTACAAGCCTGGACGGTACCATGCTTGTACTCTGTCGGAAGATATCTGCGGGCCTTCGCCATGAAGGCCGATGCTGAGCTTTCTGCCCAAGACTCCGTCACTTTCGACGATCGCTTTCAAGATGATGCGACGGATGCCAAGAATCCGAAGCTGGAGGAAGCTACACGGGTGCTCAACAGGATGTTTACTTTGTGTCTAAGTGACCGGTAAGCCATATTCGGAAGTGCTGTGGATATACCATGCTAAGGTTGTTAGGGCACCGATCGAGGAATCGCGAAAATGGGGTATCTACGACACTACAAACCTGCTGTTCAAGACATACTTCAAACTCAACACCGTTGGCCTCTCCAAGAACTTGCTGCGTGCCCTCAATGCCTCGTCTGCCGACCTTCCCGGCTTGGACGCCTTTCCCAAGTCTCATATTGTCACCTTTGAGTACTACGTCGGTGTCATACACTTTCTGGATGAGAATTATGCCGAAGTATGTGTTTTAGTCACCTGTTTCGGGTTCTGTTGCTAATAGCTGGGTTTAATAGGCTGAAGAGCACCTGTCGTACGCATGGAGGATGTGCAACAAATCTGCGACAAAGAATAGAGAGTCAGTACTATACATGTCGTCTTCGTGCTATATTGCTGACTACTTCCAGGTTGATCCTCACCTACCTCGTTCCCTGCCATCTTGTCACCACACACACTTTGCCCAGCAAAAAGCTTCTTGCGCCCTTCCCTCGTGTAGAGAAGCTCTTCCGTCCATTGTGCGACTGTATCAAAAAGGGAGACCTGGGCGGGTTTGATGCCGCGATGACAGCCGGAGAGGAAGAATTCGTCAAGCGGCGCATATACTTACCCCTGGAAAGGGGACGCGATATCGCTCTACGGAACCTCTTCCGCAAGGTCTTCATCGCAGGTGGATTCGACGAACCCAAGGAAGGACAGCCTCCTATTCGTCGCACACGTGTTCCCGTTGCCGAGTTCGCGGCGGCGTTAAGGATCGGTACTCATGCTGACGATCGATCCCGCGTAGACATTGATGAGGTTGAGTGTCTGCTGTCAAACCTTATCTACAAGGTGCGCATTGAGATGCCCGTAAACCATCGAAACATTGAGCTGACAAGAGTTGTAGGGATTGATGAAAGGTTACATTGCCCGTGAACGCGGCATGGTTGTACTGAGCAAAGGTGGCACCGCATTCCCTGGAACGGGGGTTTAGCTCTGCTATCATCCGTCATCGCATTTTCGATGACGGCCTATCACACTTATCGAACAGTCTCGTGTCACAAGTGTACGACCGCCCGAAGGGCATTATCCGAAAGCCTTCAAGATCACGGCTATGGCAGGGACATCTGCATCGCTTGCCAGCCTGTTTTATATGCGCTACAACAGGCCTTTGAGCAGCTCCCATGCAGCATGTATATCATAGATGACCGCTTACAGGACCCATACCTCCAACGGCGCTGGTACATGAACAAACGGTATGCCCCGCAGTCATGCAAGTCGTCCAGTTAGTGCTGGTGACATGCCTCAACTGCCTGGTTCAAGCTGAAAACGCTGTAATCTATACCATGGATAGACCCATTATAAATCCCACATGACCTCATGACAGATACAATCTCGCATTTCTGTATAAATCCCCATAACAGACACATTACTATACAAACATCGCATCAAGCAATACATAGCATACAATAACCATCCATCCCAACACAACAATGCCATCCTTTCCCCCCAATACATTATACCAAATAGAACAATCCGCCCAAACCAGCCGGGCTGCATATATCACTAACACGTCCCTTCACCCCTCGCTGCTTCCTCAAGATCATCCTACAGTCGATCATCCGGAGTTAGCCACTCTCCCCGCACATCCTCCATTTCAAGAGAGGGCAGATTTGAAACTCACCATATGATTACACATCGCCACAAACAAATCAAAAAACAACTTCCCCCCACGTTCCATCTCCATCTGCATCGTCCCACTCCGCTTGAATGTCCCCCGACTCCGTATAATCAGCGCCAGATAATGCGCCCGCAGCTTACTCTCCGTATCCGGCGTGTGCATGTACGCGTACCGCGCACTGCTTAGGATAATGTGGCAGGGGATGTTGGAGTGGAGGCCTTGCTTTTTCAATGAGAGGCGTTTGAGATGCTCAAGGGAGTATTTTTCGGCTGCGCAGCTATATAGTACATTCTTGTGTTAATATGGGATTGGGGTTCTTATTGTCGATTTTTTTTTTAAAAGGAAGGGGTTGGTTGACGTACTATACTGCGGTGTCGCGGAGGATTTCTGCTCCTACGGCTGGGTGGAAGATGATGGCGCTGGGGTCGGTGGTCTCTTTGGTATTAGTGGTAGTATGATTTCTGGTATTAGGAGTGGAGGAAGAAGAGGTTGTTTCCAAGTCCCATGTGTTGGTGGATTTGTCGTGGCGGAGACGGGGGTAGTAGTCGCCGCGGTAGAGGTATTCGAGGACGCAGGAGAAGATTTCGGGTTGTTCGTCGGGGAGGTCGATTGTTCTCATCGATTTGGTAGGGCTGGGTGAGGAGGAAGGGGAAGAAGTGGGGGAGGAAGAAGAGGAGGTATCATTGTTGGGAGGATTGCAGAGGGCTGCGAAGTAGGGCGAGACGCAGAGAATGTCTTTGTGTGCTGCAAAGAGGCGTTTGGTTGGGCCGATGGTGAGGGTTATTACGCCGTGGGAGAGGGAGGAGTTGCTATTTGGTGGAATTGGGTCTTAGGGTTAGTGGGTGCTTTTAATTTTACTGAGATGGGACAGGGAGAGGGGTGTAAGAACCTTCCATCTGGGGGTGTGTCGGGGGTGTGTCTGCTGCGATGGAGACGTCGTGATGCGACGACAGATTGTTCGCGAGATCGCGGTTTGGCCTTGCCGGCTCGGTATCTGGAGGAGAAGCTATCTGGGTGGTGGGAATGTAGGCGTTTTGTGGAGAGGATTCTGGGGCTAGGGCGATGGAGGCCCTGCTGTTGCTGTGATTGTTGCTGTTGGGATAGCATTCTGAAGGAGGGGAGAATTGGGGGGGAGATGGGATGGAATAGTAGCTGGGGAGAAAGAATTTGACCCTGGAGATGGAAATCAGGGGGTTCCTTGCGATTATAAAACTAGTAGTAGTACAGTAGGATACTCGGTGGTAGAAAGAGATGGTAAGAACTGGACAGATACATGTATGTTTGACCTCTCCTATTTGGAGTGCCTTCTTTGTCTCTAATAAGGGGTTGCTGAACCACAAGCACAGGCCATCCTTTCTCCTCGCAGAGGAAGGGGAACGAGGGAAAAGTCCCCAGCCCTTTTATCTCCAGATCCTGGTCGACTTTGACGCATTATAGATCAACTCGACCAGGATGCATGTTCCTCTCTGTGCAGGAGGGGACATTAAGAGGGGAAGAGCAGCGAACGCGTAACGGCAGGTACTGCTAGTAATGGACGCGTAAAGTGGTTTTTTGTGCATCGCCAAATGATCGCGCAGTCACGGGAGAGCCATTGGCCAATGATGGCTTCAAGGGGGGAGTTTGGGAGGTGGAGACTTGGAGACGCCAGAGCGAATCAGCCCGGCATTCTTCGTTCCGTCCACACCCGCGATCGGCACAGAGACTCGATGCATCCAAGTTTGTGGATAGTTATGGTTTGTATGGCCAGTGGGGACAGGGTACTTCCTGGTCATTACTACTCGTTGACTAAACGCAAAAGCATGGCTCGTCGTGTCCAGTTGGTGCGGATGGGCGGATTCCCCCATCCGTGACTCATGGATCCATCTAGGGATCAGTTGTCTGTCATACCGACGTACCGGTTGCATCGACAGCCACTCCTTGAGCATACACACGACACCGTAAGACACTTGGATTCGCATGCAGGGATCCGTTTGTATCTCCTGAAGACAGCCTTTCACTGTGAGATGGTTAGTCGTGTCCTTTCTTAGCTGGAAGGCGTTTAACCTCTCCGAAGTTGATAGCTCAGATTCCTACCCCGCTAACACACTGGGCGATGAAACGCTGACGATATTATATCCTTTCAAGCATAGTAACGAAACGTTGCGTTATGTACAACCATGTACAACCCAGGTCCTGAGCCTGCCCAACCCATGTACGCCCATACCATAACGCCTGCTTGCAAATTGTGTAACCGACGCCCATTGCGGTGTGGAGATGTGCCTGCACTTATGTCCGCTGTATCTGCTGAACTGACCCTGTCGGTCCAACTAGAGGAATACCTTTCTCGCCTCCCGCGGATGACTCTCACTCGGGCAGTAAGGGCACTTGAACCGGCTACCCTTGCACAACCGTTTGAGTGACTCCTCCGCGATAACATGCCCACAGGGCATCATCATGGGAGGATTCTCATCCGTGGTTTGCTCCTTTGATACGGGACATACAAAGATAGAATGGAAGAGATACGACGGGGGTAGCGGGATCTCGACCTAGATGGCGCACCAGTCAGCCCATAAACCGTCACACATGTCCGCATCGAGTTAACTTACCGGGAGCTCGTTCTCCGTGGTCCACTCGGTTCGTTTGGCTTTCATGATAGTCTGTAACTTCAACAGCGTCGGCAGCGCAATGGCACCCGCAGTAGCAGCAACATATAGGGGCGAATCTGCCGACAAGCCGAGTAGCGAGCAAAACTCTCGCGTGAATGAGTGTGCCACATCGGACCATGCCGACGGGTTGTTGAATATATGGTTGTACGGCGAGTCGCGCAGATTGGGGCAAAAGGCCATTGCACCCATGAGCTGCTGGACCTCGCGCAGATACCTGGGCAAGAATGTGTGGAATTCACGCCTGCCATATTCCAAAGCTGCCTGCCGCCCACCCGGACTGGGTCCTTGCTGATGTTGTCCGCCGTAGAAAAGCCAGACGAATTGCAGCCTGCACAATTCAAACTCAAGGTTACTACCTCTCGCCTCCAAAGCCTCCTTGTTCTCCCTGGACCACTGTATTGCCGGCAGCAGATTGTTGTTTTCCTTCAGCTCATGAAGGATGTGGTACATAGTGTGGAACTGTTGCCGCACCTCGCCCGGCGGGACTTCATCGAGATCTAAGAGCGAGGCCGCATCGTCTATAGCCCCTATGTCTCCTTCTTGTTGCTTCTTCATCGCTTTCTTTTGTGCCATTTCGTTCAGGAATTCTGATGCAACGGAAAACTGTCCTTCTCGGAGAAGGTGCATAGCGATAGCTCTGTTGATGAGGTGTTCTTGGGAGGACAGGACATCATGTTCGGTGTTCGGCAAAGGCCGGTCTTTGAATAACTGCGACAGTGAAGTAGTTAACATATGCCATTCACCATAGGAGCCGGACGCGTGCTACCTTATCTAACGATTTGGAGTATTTGTTGAGACCACTGTGTGTTTCTTTAAGACTATCATTGATGGAATCAAAAGACGATTTGACGGGATTCTGGAGCTTAGCCAGTGTAATGGATGCTTGACTGGGATCTGGGATTGTCCGCGTGATCAGTATAGTTCCAGGATCAGAAGCGCGCAACGTCCGACGAGGCACACGCACCTGCAGCAATTGCATCTCGTGCCGACTGAAGCAAATCTATGGTAGCCTGCACATTCTTGATACCTTGACCGGCCTTGATCTTCTTGGAAAGCCGGTCGTGCTCTTTCTGCACCAGCTCCATGACGGGGCAGACGGGAAAGCGGTGTCCGACAGTTACCGCACCTTCACTAGGCAATCGTTGCAGCCATATGTAGGTGATTCGGATGGTTGTGCTGCTCACCGCAAGATTTGAGATAAGAATGTGAAGCTCGACAACGAATTCGTTAGGGAAATACTAGAATAGAATAGAGTCGCCTTCTTCTCCAGGTCATCGGAGCATGTGGGCAGGTGAGGAGGAGAACGGAGCGGCAACCAGCCCAATTACGACATGAACCATCACGTGCAACTATCCGGGTGCCCCGCCCACAGCCCGTTTGCAGTCAACTTTGCCCAATGACATGATCTAGATCACTCCAATGCAACTAATCTACACACTGGTTGCTGTCTACTAAACAAAGGTCATTCGTGAATCCTAGTGTCCTTCTCAGACGCTAAGCATCTACCTGTCACTGAATCTCAAGAGTGATTTGAAAACCAGACTCGCAATGAGTGCGGCCTCGGATTGCCAGTCACACTCTGGAATTGCTTTTCCCCTCACTAATGCAGTGAGATGCCGCCTTACGTTGCCAGCTCACAAGTAGCTAACCAACTAACGAGTTAACAAGGGAACCCGAGTCACTGAGCAAGTAGAGATCCGTGCCTTACCCGAACAGCCTGTATGAATGCCTCTGCTCCACTTGTCAGAGACCATGCTGGAATCATACTGGACGCTTCCCACCCACTCAGTCTTTCAGGCCCTCTTTGTCCTGCGACATCGGGTATTCGAAGCACACACTCGCTAACCATGCTGGTCCGCTTCGTTTCTAGAGCCCTAGCGGGTACCTGTCGACTGGATTGCCAAGTCCCATGGGAATAGGATCTCCGTGTCTTCGAATCAAAAGTTACTACCAACTGCGAATGGTGAGTGAGGCATTTAGACGAGACCACAACAAAGGTGCCTTTCTATGCGCCTTATCTATCAAAATGACGTCTCTCCTCTGAGGGCCTTGGTCTTAGAAGAACTTCCGGATGTAGAGCGAACGAGTGATAAGCCTAGGCAAGACTCACGTTCTGTCGCGGTGAAGTAGCTCTGCCCGCGCTGAAGGATATCTATTCACAAATGTTGTAAAGCCTGAATGTCCACCACAGCATAGCACTCATTGTGTTTATGAATACCTTCGTGTAGCAAAATGTACGACTCGTCCAAAGATGCCAACTCAAAGCGCAGTCACTTTTTCATAGCTATGAAGCCATCCAACCAAGCTCGTTATGTTCGGGAATATGACTGGGTCCGGTAGTAGTAGTTCCAAGGTGACAGTAGTGGGTTTCCCGTATGGCAGAACATGGCTTAGATATCGACGGACTGCACCCGACTCGCTCAGGAACCCACATACACCACTTTTGACTGGATCAGCGGATATTGCCAGAATTATCAGACTTAGAAATTTGGATTATTCCTATGCGAGTGTGAAAGGGTGTCGGTAACTCCCTCTTGAAGCAGAATAGTCACTGTAGGATCATACAGGCAGCTTCTGACCAATCACAGCCAAACATGGAACCTCGCTTACGCTAGCTCACCCAGTGGGTCCCCGCCGCGGCACTATATAAGCTCAGCGCACCCGCCCTCTTTTTGGACTTTTTCTTTCTTTCTTTCTCCATCCTGGTGCACGGGTTTTACACGTGTCAGTGAGGAGACATCCGAGACCGTGTTTTTGCTAGTTGAAAACTACCTAGTTTGACCGCTCTCCTTGGTCTTCGGATCGGGGAGGAATTTTTGAAAAAAAAGATGCCATGTCTCCAAATTTTGGAGGCGGTTTAAGAGTACGTAGACAGTACCGCTGTTGCCCATCTGTTAGTTCATTTGGGTAGTACTCGAGATTGGTCTTCTTTTCACTGCTGTTGTCTCCCTTGAGGAGGCCTGGAGAGAAGAGAGCCTGATCACCTGTAAAATGCCTTGTCCCATAGACGACATGATCTAGAAATTAGAGACCCTTGTCATCCGCTTCATGTGAATCCAATTGTTCGCTGCACATGCGCGACTCGGGCCGTGTCCCTGGGTACTTGGGCTGACGGACGCGTCCAGTGTCTGCCAACTCGCCACGGCTTCTCCCATAGGGCCCTTGTGGCAGTGCTGAGGAACGATTGAGTTGTGGCTGAATGCACCTAGGCAGCTGCGTTTCATGCAGAATTGATTGGTCTAGATGTAGGGTAGTGTTCTAGAATGGTAACAGCGCTCTCACGCTTACCCTTAGGGATCGTAAGACGGTAAGACTAACCAAGTACCGTCGCGTTATTCTGTATCTATCTTAATGGCATTGAGACACCTGCTAGTTTCGGATATACACTGTCTATTCCGTGGGGTCTGTTGGACCAAAGTGGCCCCAAAAAGTCAGGGCGATGATGGCTTAGCCGCTCACCGCTCCAGGTCTGGTGGGAATCCCTTGTGACGTCGCCAACTGAAGTCGCTGCACATGCCGGTAACAACAACCACCTTTCGGCCAGGCTTGTGCTTCTACTTTCTCCTTCAATGATTTGACATGACATGGACAGCCCTTAGCCCGGCTTGTCACATCCGTGCTTGACATTTCAAAGCTCTTAGCTCCTCAACCTCGGATATGTTACGGTTCTTCCTAACCTCTGTACAATACGATAAGACCCCCGGAGGGTCAACGCTTCTGTCTCTTTCGCCTTTATTTGAGCACGGCCTCCTGATTTCTTCTTCTTCAGATTTCTTGATTTCACGCGCACTCACATAGTGGAAACACCATATATACAGCCCTTATGTGCTAAGGAATCGTCCGTCTTCACCATGCCACCACCACCCGCAACGCAGACAGGTGGCCAAGCACCGCCTCCTACGACAGCCCCCAACGAATTGGCAAAACACTCCATCAACACGAAAGATATACCGTCTACACAGCTCAGTGGTCCTGAGGGACAGTCGCCACAGCATGGCCACCAGAGACTCGTATTCACCGATCCAGTTGCCCTCCGGTATCTTGAAGAGGATCAATCGGCAATTGTGCTAGGTCGACGTTTGACTTTGGAAGGATATGAGGTGTTCATTGTTGAACAATGGGCCTGCACGCGCATACATCCTACCTTCATAATAACTACCTATACGGGGGATCCTTCGCACAAGGTTGTGGTGGGGGTGCTGAGCGTCCCCACAGACGAATCTACGTGGTCGCCCCGTATGAAGATGTACTTCGGCGCAGTCACGCAATGCCAAGCGCGGAAAAAGGAAACGCCATTGGGAACACTTATGGTTACCGACCTGAACGTGTTCCCATTGGCACTGACTCTCATTCCGGTACCCGACGGTGATGTCCTAAAACACAAGGATGATTTTATCGTGAATGAAAACTTGAAGCGGTTAGGCTGCTCAGGCCGCTCTGGTTTGAAGCTACAGCCACCCTCGCCCGCTACCGAGGGGAAGTTCCACCACCTTTACCGGACGAGCGAGAAGGTGCCTCTATATACTGCCGTCATAGAGCTTGTGAAGCTATGCCAGATCGCCCTGATGATGTTTGGCAATCTTGCCCCAGAGTACGTTGATGGACTGCTGTGCGATGTCACAGAAGCGGCCATAAATGATTGGTGGACCGAGACGGGTATGGATTTATACAACATTGAACCGAGTGATTCTATGTTGGGCCCTATCTCAGTAGCCGCCCTGCTAGGTACTCTCATGGGGGCGCGAAACCGGCTGCATGCTTTCGGCGCTCCGGTTGGGAAGGATGCGTTTGATCATCATAACCTGAAGAAAGGCATTGGAAGCTTTCAAAAATCACAGAAGCTGAAACGTACCCGAAGGTTAGATCGACAGACCTTGGATCGCCTACACCGGGTGACAGCAAAAGCTGCAAATGCAGAAGGCTGGACCGATGCCGTAAAATCAACCATGGCAGAATTAAGCGGACACGGGGGAGAGATGGTTATGGGAATGGTCCGCGGCCGCGAAAAAGGCGGGATAGCTGATATCGAGACCCTCGATATTGACACCTTCGCACACCTGGTCACCGGTGAACGAGCCAAATGGCTGTGGAGGGGAAAGCCGCGGAAGGGCGGAATTGACGACGGTCTTTCTGGCAGCGCACAGAGCGCAGATATGGTATTCACTACAGACGACCAGGGTGGCTATTTTTGGACAAGTCGAAAACGATCCTCGCACGAAGATTTAGTGGCGGACCGCGCGCTGCAAAGCTCAGACCGTCCAGGGAGGCCGCCAGAATCAGCATCCTCCTTAGATGAGAAAGACCAGAATCTGGGCCGATTAGTTCGAAAAGGTGTGAGCGGGAAAGTGTCAGATGCGCGGGCGGGGTTTGGCCGGTTCAAGGATGCAGTAGGCCTCCGGTCCCATCCGCAGAAGCATTCGCGGGATGACATAGACCTTGGCGGTGACCCTGCTCATTTGCCTCCCATCGATAGCGACACGGAGGTGTCTCAGTCGAAGAAATCTGATGGTGCTCCAGCCGGATCCGTGGACGCGCAGGACCATGAAGGTCAGGCCCCGAAGGATGACTTGCAGGTTGAGTCTCCTCCAAGGACGATATTACCGCAATCACCCAAATCAAGAGCGCCAGCCATAACCGTAGAAACGGTTCCATCCCAGGCTGACTCGGAGTCGTCGCGTAAGGTGTCAGTACCCAGAGCAGATGACGAAGCGCAGGACCTTGAGCGCTGGAGGACACGTTCCACCGACATTACCGTCGACCCTCGGGAGCAGACGTCTGAAGTTGGTATTATGCTCCTGCGTCGACCGCAGAGCTGCACCGAACTGAATGTGGAGAGGGTCTCCGGTCGTCTTGATAACTACTGGCCCCGCCATCTTTCCTTCAGCACTGTCGAAGAGGTAGTGCTGGGATGGAATGACTTGGGAGGTGAGGCTTTCAAAGAGAAGCCCGATACCCTTCTGGACGAGGCCATCATGCAAGAAGACATTCTAGCCTCAGATGCACGAATCTTCAGCTCACGTATCCAGGAGCTTAGTGAGCATACAGTACCTTGGGTTGAACAGCAAGTATCTTCTGTGGATGACCTCAGTCGGTGCTTACACGAGAGTCACGAAAAGGTCAACGCCGCGTACCTGGAACGGCTGTCGACATTTGAACAGATGAGAGCTAAATCGAGCGACCTGTTGACGGAAGAGCACAGCCAGCTCACCGATTACATGAGGAGGGTTGAACTAATGGGCGCGAAGCTGGACTACGAGCTCCATGTTCTGGATTCCCGTGTCGAGGATGTCGAAACCAACCTCGACGAGTTCGAACGGCATGTGAATGCCATCGAAAACAGGGTCAAGCTGCTGATACGGGGCGAGCACGAAAAGCAGGACAGTTCCTGGTTCTCCTGGTTGGGGAGATTTACCGGATGCTCAACACAGTGACTGCAAATTCTCTTTTCCCAGAAAGAAGCCTTGTAGACATATATCATTTCTAATGTACATAATTTCCGAGATAGACTTGCGCAGTTCGCGTTGACCGTGCAATGCCAAAGACCCAGCCTTCGCTAACAGCAAACCCCCATCCCAGAACCAAACAACCCTGTATATCCATGTCCGAGCGGAAGTCATCCATCCCAATTAGCATAAAATCCAGGCTGCCTTCCGCTCCTGTTCAGTCATGCCATAAGAGAGACCAAAGGAAAACAAGCAATCCAGAAGAGCAAGCATGACAGATCTGAAACCCGAATAGATTATACACGTTTTATGAAAGAACAGTAAAAGATCCAATTAGATGAACAATCGTTTCGTTGACCTCGCACTTTACATGCCGAAACCACCCATGCCGCCCTTCTGGTTCGCCTCACCCTGCATCTTCTCGCTGACCTTCATGTTGACTTCGAAGAACTTGCCGACACAGCGGTCAATGCAGACGGACTCGCCCTTGTTGAGGTCGCCTTCGCGGTAGTCGTTGGGAATGCACTTCTTGATGCAGGACTCGGTGAGACTGGTGGTCATGATTGGGTTAGTCAAGTATATGAGGTGTCGGGGAACAGGTGCGGTGTTTGACAGGGGAAGATGAATATAGGTTTCAAAGCAATTGTATAGGATGATAGAAGCTTACCGGCTGAACATGTCGGTGACCATCTCAACTTCCGTCTCAGCCGCAGCAATCTTCTGTTCCGAGGAAAGCTTGGGGGCGCCGCCGAAGAGGAAAGACATGATGACGATGTGTAGTGAGGGTGGTGTTGTTTTAGCTGTAGTCAGTCAATTAGTAGCTCGTTTCAATATAAGACGGGCAATTCCAGGAGTAAATCGGCCACTCACAAGTGATAACAGTGTTGATCAATGAATGTTAGAAGGAGTATGATGTGAATGCGCTGAATTGAGCTGCCGGAGCAGACCTGAAGTTGCCGGGATTCGAAGCTGGCCCTGCCGCTGCCGCTCCTCACCGCCTTAGGAATTTTCGCCGGATTTGCAAACGCGTATTTCCCGCACAACTTGGCTCTCTTTTTTCTCTCTTCCTTCCTTTTCTCAATATGTGAGCACGTAGTAGTTCTCTTTTCACTCTCAATGCAACCAATTCGCCCGTTGAGGGCGTCGTCGTTGCGGGTTGGAGGTCTTTTGTCTAGGTAAGCAGTTTTATGTTTTTGCTGTGTTTATCACAATGGCTCCTCTTTATCCTGCAACTTGCATGATGAGACATACCCTTCCAATTACAGAACCGCTGCATTGAAGCTTGGGGGTTTATCTTCCAAGTTATGAGTAACAGGAAGCTTTATGTCTTCTGATTTATCTTGTCTCTGTTATTACATTGTATGGCTTGTGTCTGTTGGACAGTTTGCTAACGGCATGTTCAGGACAGGACTTCCGATTTCCCGTACATCACAGGCTTTCCAGACTTCTGGCAGGCTTGCTCGAGTAATACAGCACAACCATGCACCTCTGGTACAAACAAGGCAGAACAGCGTCGATGCGTATCCTGAGAAGGCGTTCAAGAGGCGTGTGCAACTGATCGAAGAGGCTGTTGCTGAGCCGTATCCCCGGCTCGCGTCAAACAAGAACACGGTGAGCTGTGCGGAATTTCGTGGCCGCTACAGCCATCTAGCAGATAATGAAATAGTAGAGGATGATACAGTTGTTATTAATGGTAGGTCCTAGTTTCTAGCCTAGCTGGCTTCTACCATGTCGTCTCGTACTTAAATCAGTAGGTAGGGTACGTACCTTAAGACTTGTTGGAGGCAATTTGATATTCTTCGACTTGCTCCATGATGGCCATAAAATACAAGTTATGTGCAACCGTCGTCGACTGAAGGATATCCCTCCGGCGACCTTCAAGCAGTTCTACCGGATGCTTCGGCGTGGCGATGCCTTCTGTATGTTTCACCAGCCGTCCTTAGTATCCTGCTTAGACTGAACGATATCCTATAGCCGTAACGGGTAATCCTCACCGGACTGAACGAGGCGAGCTCACGCTTCTGGCGACTGAATTGCCGCAGCTGCTGTCGCCCTGTCTGCATGATATTCCGGTTGATGCCAAGGGGCAGGAGAACTCGCCGTATCCCCGACATGTACAGTTCCTTGCAGACCCGGAGACAGTAAATGTCATCAGAGCTAGATCGGCAGTTGTCCAGTATCTTCGCCAGTTCTTTGTCGACCGGTCTTTCATGGAGGTTAATACGCCTATTATTGAAGCGGTTGCTGGCGGTGCAATTGCTCGTCCATTCCATACTACAGCCACCGAGTTCCCGGATCGTCAGTTGTCGCTACGGATTGCGCCGGAACTCTGGCTGAAGAGATTGGTGGTAGGAGGGTTTGACCGGGTCTTTGAGATTGGACCTTCGTTCCGCAATGAAGGTATTATTTGTCGGTCGAAGTGTTTGAGCGAGTACTGACAATTGTGACAGGCCTCGACAAAACCCACAACCCCGAGTTCACCACTTGCGAGTTCTACCACGCCTACGCCAACCTGGAGGATCTTATGACCACGACTGAGCAGCTACTCTCGGGCCTGGCTGAACACCTTACTGCTTTCCACAAATCGTCCCCCTTCAAGAGGCCTAATCAGGAAGACACACCTCTACCGTTCTCCCATCTCAATTTCTCTGCGCCATTCCGCCGACTCGACTTCATCACCTCTATTGAGCAGAGCATCGAGCGGAAGCTGCCAGACCTCACGTCTCCCGATGCTCTGGACCAGGTGAAGGCGATCTTCCGTGACCGCAACCACGCACTTCCCGATAAAGTGACCCTCCCCCGACTGCTGGACGAGCTCTGCAGCATCTACGTCGAACCCCAGTGCATCGACCCAACCTTCATCGTCAACCCGCCCGAGTGCTTATCCCCGCTTTCCAAATCATTCATCCACCCCACCACCAACCAGCGCGTCGCCGCCCGCGGAGAGCTTTTCATCGAGGGTCGCGAAGTCGTGAACACATACGAGGAGGAGAACTCGCCGTTCGAGCAACGCCGTAAGTTCGAAGACCAGGTCCGGTACAGCAAGCAGGCCGACGAGGCGGAAGAGATCGATGAGAGCTACTTGAAGGCGCTGGAATGGGGTCTCCCTCCGACTGGCGGCTGGGGGTGCGGTATCGACCGCCTCTGCATGTTGTTCACTGGAATAACGAGAATCGGGGACATCTTGCCCTTTGGCAACTTGCGCAAAGTAACCACCCGTGCCGATGCAGCGGCTGAAGGTCAGGCTGCTGAAGGAAAGGAGATCTAGACAGCGCTCGGTGAATGGGAGACACGATGACGCGTCTTGCGGCGGCACTCTCATTGGTCCATTGCAGGCGAGTGGATTTTCGCGATTCTTGCAAGATCTCGCCATAAGTGTCGCTCGATGTTCACAGTCTTGCTAGACTGCTGCACTGCTCGACTGCTGAACTGGAAACTAAATGGAGTCAGAAAGGCTCCAACTGCAGCTATGCAGCAAGCTGCCTGTACATTACATGAACCTTATGTTATAGTAACCACACAATCCACCTCTTCATTGTACATACACACAATTCAGATATCACAACTCCCAACTGACTCCAACACACACCCACCACTTTACATTTTATCTATCAATTCCATTCAGCCGGCCGATGCCATCCGATAAGAAGCGCCGATAAGCACAATTGACCGGCGCGGGCCGAGGCCCTCCATCATCCCACCTGCAATCTTTTCCCCTCATTATCTCCTCTCTCTCCTCCACCAACACTACAACCACAACACCAACCCAAACACCACCACCACAATGGCACTCGACGACATACCCGTAGCGCAAGCCGTCACGGTCACCCTGCAAGACCTAATCGACGGTACGTCCCCCAACCACACCCTACCCAAAACAACCAAAACCACATCCATCTCACCAACTAACACTACATCCTCCAAAAAACAGGAACCATCCCCCCCACGACCCTAACAGAAGCCTTCGGCCCCTCCTCCCTAGGCATAATCCTAGTCAAAAACCTCCCGGCAACCTTCCCACACCTCCGCGCGCAAGTCCTCTCCAACGCCTCATACCTCGCCTCGCTGCCCCCCTCCACCCTAGACTCCCTCACCTGCGCCTCCGCCAAATACCTCATCGGCTGGTCCCTAGGCAAAGAAACCCTCCGCGACGGACACTACGACACACACAAGGGCTCCTACTACCTGAACTGCGCATTCTACAACGATCCGTCCCTGCAAGGCGCGCCGTCCATCGACGCAGAATTCCCCGAGTACACCTCCCCCAATATCTGGCCTAGCGAGACAGATCTCCCTACCTTCCGGAGCAGCTTCGAGCAACTCTGCACACTGATTATTGATACGGCGGCGTTGGTGGCGCGCGCGTGTGATCGCTTCGCAGTGGAAAGTGTCGATGGGTATAAGCCTGGGTATTTGGAGAAGGTCGTGAGGGGGAGTTTTACTACGAAGGCGAGGTTGTTGCATTATTTTCCTACTGAAGGGTCTAGTTCTTCTTCTTCGGAGGGAGGGAAGAAAGAAGAGGGTGAGGGTGAGGGTGAGAATGATGACGACTGGTGCGCAACCCACCTCGACCACGGATGTCTAACGGGTCTTACGTCCGCGATGTTCGTCGATGAGGAGGCGCATGATCCCTCCTCCTCTACTTTGGAAGATAAATCCTCCCCCCTGCCGGAACTCACGACTTCGCCGGATCCTAAGGCCGGGTTGTATATCCGCTCCAGGACCGGCCAGGTCGTCAAGGTCAATATACCGAAGGATTGTCTTGCGTTTCAGACGGGTGAGGCGCTGCAGCTTATTACGAGGGGCCAGTTCCGTGCTGTGCCGCATTTCGTGAAGGGAGCGAGAGGGGTTGGGAAGGTGGCGAGGAATACGTTGGCGGTGTTTACGCAGCCGAATTTGGAGGAGGAGGTAACGCCTGGGGTTACGTTTGGGGATTTTGCTAGGGGCGTGGTGGAGAAGACGTCGAAGTAGGATGCCACTTCATTATTTGATGGGTGTTGGTGTATTGGTATCATCTTGAATATAGTACAGTCCAGCTCAATCATCGTGTCTTACTCGCTTCCGTTCCCTCTCCTTATTAGGCACATAGTCCCCTTCTTCTGTTTCCTCCGTCCCGCCGCGCAGCTGATCCATACGGAGCGTGAAATCCTCCTCTTCCTCTTCTTCTTCCTCTTCCTCCTCCTCCTCATCATCATCATCCTCCTCATCACCAACAGACAACCGACTCGTCCCCTCCTCTGCCTCACTAACAGGGTTACTCAAATCCGCGCCCCCCAACCCCGTACTAACAAGCTTACTGAGCTTCCCCACCTTGGCGAAATTCGACCTGGACTTCGTCGACGGCCGTCCCACATCGCCCGGTATCTTGGCCTCCCTGAAATCCGCCGCCTTGGCCACCCCATCCAACACACGAAGATTCGCCCTCCACATCTTCATATCCCTAGCGTCGCTATAATGTCCCACATCCTCGCCATTTAGCGAGTCAATCGCAAGCGTCTGCGTGCGGAAATCGCCCCAGAACCATTTCTGCCCCTCTGGGATGCGCTCGTCCGCTTGGCGGGAGTACTCGCGTCCGCGGAGCACACCATCCAGATCGTATCCGAGGGACAGGGATCCGAACATGAGTTGCAGGGCATCGGGCTCGTAGAGTCGGCCGAGAATCATGTCCTGGGATACGTCGACCATGGCGCCGGGGTGCACGCGGTACCAGTCGCCGTAGCCGCTCATGCCGACGTAGTGGAAGGCGGAGACGACTTCGTCTGGGTTCAGGGGTTTGATGGGGTGGAGGGTGTTGCTGGTGAGGTAGATGCGGCGGTCGCTGGGGGTGTAGATCTTGCCGCGGATGCGGATGGTGTATTTCTCTGCGAGGTGCTTGGATTTGCGGTCTGAGTCGCAGTTTTTCAGGTCTAGGCGGATCTCTTCGATCACCATTATGTCGGTGACGGTTGGTGAGGGGGTGTTGTTGGGGTTGTAGTTCTGGGGTTTTAGGCGGACGGCGTCGCCGATGGTCAGGAGCTCGGCGCCGATGAAGATCCCCCGGCTGTAGATGGATGCGTTGGGCCAGATGCCTTTGAAGTGGTGTTTGTCTAGGAGGCTGAAGGAGGACATGATGGTCATGGCGTATTCGATGGAGGGGTGGAGGTTCTCGCGAGGGATGTTTTGGAGGAAGTGCTCGTAGGCGTTGAATGGTTTGATGGATTTAAGGTAGACGTATTTGTAGTGCAGGGAGTAGCTCTTGTCAGGGCTGTGAGGGTCAGGGAAGGTTTCGACGCGGAAGCCTGAGTAGTTGATGCTCTGTTTTTTGGGGGATGTCTGGACGATGTCTTGGAAGATGGTGTCTTCTTCTGGGACCTGACTGACGATACCGGCTCGCCATTCTGGGGTGCCCAGCCATCGCTTCTCGCTGGGGAAATATATTTGAATCTGGTTATGTTCAGGGTTCCAGGCTAGTTCGCCTTCGAAATCTGGCGTCCAGAGCACGACTTCTCCAGCACGGGGCAAAAAGGACGGTTGCATGTCCAGCTTCTGGATGTATTCGTCGAGTGATGAACGCTCTGCGCGCCAGTCCATGCTTCCAGGCTCTGTGATGTCCTTCTCTTGTAAGCCCTGCAGCTCGAGCTGCATAACGGCCATCTTAAATACGTCTGGTGTCCCCTCGTTATCTGTACAAGGGCATGTCGCCGACGAAGGCTTTCCTGGAGGCCTGCCTGGAGGCCGGCCAGGGGGCCTACCAGGGGGTCTTCCTGGTGGTCTTCCTGGTGGTCTTCCGGGTGGTCTTCCGGGTGGTCTTCCGGGTGGTCTTCCGGGTGGTTTGCTTGCGCTTGATCCGGGAGGTCGACCAGGCGGCCTCCCCGGTGGCCTACCAGGGGTTCGAACCGGCGTTCCAGTCCCAGGAGGTCTCCCCCGAGGCCTTCCAGGACCTCGTCTTTCTGAGCCGCCTTCTGTAGGTTACTGTTAGCATTGCATAGGCAACCGAATATTGGTCGCGACATACCTTGTATCCTCTTGGACATTTTCTCGCAAAGAACACAAGTGCATGGCTCTTGGCCGCCTGTCATAAGATAGTAGAAGTGCGGAAAGAACTGCTTCGTGGAGTTGAAATACACATCTGTCGGATGGCCATAAAGGAAACGATCGTACTGCAGAGGGTTAGGGATATAGATTCACCCAGAAGTAAAGAGTATAAACCTACAATGTCGGGGTTGGCAATACGCGGCCTGTCAAATAAAGCATAACCATCAGGCAGACTGTCCAGGATGTATTCCACTCCTAGAAGTAGGGTTAGTGAGGTGGAATAAATGCGAATGTAATGTCAATATGCTAGCATGCAGCGACATGTCGCTTTCCCTTTTTGATCAAATAACAGCAACTCTCGTTGGCCTTCACATGATGGTACAATAAGGTATACGATGCGCCGAACATCTCAATATGGATCTGAAGTACAGAGTCTGAAGGAGTAATAGATGGGTAAATCACAAAGAACCTCAAAAGCAAACGTACAAAGGTGTAGCGCATCAACTGAACTAGAATAAGATAAAATTAAATCATGCAATCAACGTACCACGCTCATAAGCCCCCGTTTTCTGCAGCCACATGGAAGCCAGCTTCTCTCGATAGTAACTATCGTCTGGTCTCAGGAATCTCTCATCTTTGGGCCAGTTGTCCTGGGTGCCGTCGCTGAATGTCCGGTTGATTGGTATTACGACCATTTTTTGCTGGTCTGGTGAAGATGAGTCTTCCATAATGATTGACATTATAGTAGAAGGGGCGTGTTTTCCCCTGCAGGAGTAGTTAAATTTAGATAAGATTTGAATAAGAGCTGGAAGTAAGCTGTGATTAGTCTGTACGCAGAATGCACATTTTGGGATAGAAATGAACACGTGACTATAATCCCGAATGAAAAGAAGAGGAAAAAGTGAAGGGTAAAGATTCAAGAGGCAGGCTAAGCTATGCAGCATTGATGATAGTTGAATGCATGGGACAAGAACAGGATCCGCTCTGCCGCCGTGGGTGATGGTCATGTGACTCTACAGATGGGTAAATCATCACAGCTTCACAATAGCAGGTTAATCTATTTCCATCATCCAAAAGTCCAGGTACAGATTCACTCGGACACTAAGTCAACATGGATATAAAATGGAACAATGGTCACAGTGTCGGCTAGTTTGACCTGCAGTGGATGAGAGCCTACTGCTGATCATCCTGTACCTCAACTGCTTCAGATTCGGATTCATAGGGTGGTGGAGCAAGCTCTCCTTCTTCCACCCAGACCTTGCGCAGCTCGTTCTCAATATCCTCCCGACGCTGTTTCCACTCTTCCACCTTGTCAAGCCGCTTCCGTATCTCCTGCAACTCCTTCTCAACTCCCAGCTTCTCCTTGGCGGTGCCGATCCTCTCAAACTCCCATTGCTCGCCCTCTTCGCCAATACTAATGCTAAGGTTGTATGTGTGGTACTTCTTCAGCGATGCGCGTGTGGAGATTGTAATCACGGTGATCCCCCGCTCCTTTGCCCGCTGGTACAGCAGGCCCTCGACATCAGACGAGACCGCTGAGGTTCCTTCATCAAGGAAGGCATAGCGAGGCTCGTGATAGTAAATTCGTGCCAACGCCATGCGTTGCTTCTCTCCTCCACTCAGGACGTCCTTCCACTCCTTGCGAGTATCCCATCCGCCCTCGCGCCCAGGGAGGTAGCCTAGGTGAGCGTCGTCCAGAATCTTCTGCAGTGCAGCATCGGTTATACCTGCCTCGTGCATGTCGATTGCGGTGTGCGGGTAAATGACTTGATCGCGGAGAGTACCCACGCTCAGATAGGGCCGCTGGGGAAGGAACATGATGCCGTCAAGTCCAAACCCTCTGGGGCGGCTGACCAATCCGCGATACACTGGCCACAGCCCTGATACAACTCGGGCAATAGCAGTCTTGCCGACGCCATTCGGTCCAGATATCAGGAGATGGTCACCGGAGTGCACGACGAATGACAGTGACTCGATCAGATCATCGCCACCCCGGGGGTAGATTGAAGGCGCGACGATGGGAACTTGTTCGAGACGAACACCATCAAAGCCGTTATGAATAGTCCCTTGTACATCCGCGAGAGAGTATAACTCTGCGTGAGAATTGCGTGGGGGGTAGTATGCACTCGCATGCACTCGGTGAAGGGTGGATATCAAGCTGTAGACTCGAGACGTGTACCCAGCCAATTCCGAGATGTCCTTGATACTATACATCATTCGGCCACCTGCATCCGCCAGAGACAGCATCAAACGTTTGTTCGTGATGAATTCCTTCATGCGATCGCGTTCTCGACCAGTCTCCTTCGGCACGTCGACAAGCTCTAGGGCACCACCCATGCCGCCCCAGGCTGGAAGAAATATCGGCAGAGATGTGATGAGGTAGCCAAACGCAGACCAAGCATATTTTAGAATGACGTCTTCGAGCATGTTGTAGCGGATCTTGAGGCTATAGATACCTTCCATCCAGCGCTGAAGGTCTTTGAAGCTTCTCATTAGGAAAACACGTTCGATGTCCGCGCCGCCATAGAAAGAGATTTCCTCAGCATTGGCGAGCAACCGTGAATGTAGACCCCGGAAGTCACCCTCTTTCTTTCCCTCCACAGCCTTCAGCTTTCCAAACGGTGGTGAAAGCTTCCTCAGAACTGCTGCGGTACTGAAGTAGCCCGTGAGGATACCGGTAAGGGCCAACGGCCCGAGAGAACGATACAGTTGATAATTAAACACAAATAGGTCCACCGTAGGCTTTCCCATGGACGAGTATAACGCTGCTGCTGCAGAGCAGAAGAGAGTAAGGTCCTGGGTAATGAATTGGTCTGGTCCTTGGCCAACACCGCCATCCAAATTCATCAACTTGTAGTAGTTGTTGTCGCCAGTAAGATAGAGATCGTGAATATACCTCGTTAATCGGGTCCGGAACGCAATAGACACCTTCGATTGAAGGAACTTGATCATGGCATTGGTGTAGGAAGCCAGCGTGCCAATCCCGCACCATTTGAGAATGCCCCAAGCGAAAGCACGCCCCTTACCAGCGACAAGGTCCCTTACAATCTCGCCATCGAGTCGTGCGATCAACAGCGACAGGTACGTCCGCAAGAGCAAGAAAACCCCATGGCCCATCAATAATCCGGTTTCTTTGCTACCCCATCTCGGGACCATGATACTCCCTAGACTGAGAAATTGATGAAGGAATGCAAGGTTGATCCCAGGCTTTGTGGTTGGCGGCGGTATTTGATTCACTGATTCGCCGTCGCCGACACGGGCGGCAGCAGGTGGATTCAAGAACAAGCGCCGATGCGCATCGAAAGTCGTCTGTTTGGTCGGATGAATCACAACCTTGGAGGTCATGGAGCCTTTATAGGGCACATAGATGGTACGAGTGCCATCCTTGCCTCGAATCCCGGAATTCCGACGCAGCAGCTGTCTTCCTCGCGCACGTTCTTTGGCCCTTTCGCTAAACCATTTGTAGCCTCCATAGCCGGAACCCAAGATAGATAGGATCAGTGCAATAGTGGCGATGATTTGGGTGGTCTTTGATGAACGCTTGATCCGGGAGCGAACGAGACTGGTGTATTTGTTGTACAGCGCCACGAGAGGATCTTCTCGACGACGAAGCGTTGAATGAGCGGCCATTATGCCTCATGTATAGCCACAGAACCACTTCTAACACAATTTGTGGGCACCTTGTAGGACAGTGCCCTCACGGCAGCTGGCATTCTTAGGCCAGACTGTCGAAGGCCATCAGGAGATGGGGAGAAGCGTCCGCAGGGATGACGCGTTCTATATCGGTCTGTGGTGCAGTTTCGAGGTCGGATATGCTGTAAGCAGGAAGTATGAGTAAGAATAGGTGTGGTTGTGAGACTGTTGGTAGCAGACAACTCGCTCAGGAGCTCACATTATGGACGGAGCTGACAATGTTGTTGAGAGTTAATGCATGTGAAGACCTCGGGCCAACATTGCGGAGGGGCGGAGGCGCACCTCACGTGCGGAGTCCCCAGACCTTCATTACATCAAGTATCAGTGGCCACAAGTTTTAGCCTTCACAGCGACCTGCTCGCTATTTTAGGGGATTGCCTATGGGCCTAGTCTCCAAATTGTGGTGTCGATGGCTTTTTAGTTGCTTTTAGATGTTCAAATCTAATAAAGCCGTTGACATCATCCGGTCGATGTCGGAGTAGTGAATCGCTTGATTTCACAGATCTTGTACCACACGTACTACTAAGTGAGCCACCCAAATTGAATCAAATAATCAACAGTAATTGGCTGTGATAATTGTCTGCGTTATTGAGATTTGCAGGTCCATCCTCTGGCAGTCTTACTATGGAGGCCCTTAAGCGCCCAACTTCCTAAAAGGGACCCAGGCACTGCAACCAAGACCGGCCGGTTAGTGCAGGTAGTAGTTACGAGGTTGGTGGTATTATCTGATAGAAGTAGTTGTTATCTGTATCATTTAGTTGATCTGGTGCCGGTCGATTAAGCTTCAATAGCGGGATGTTGATGGTAAATTACAAGGTCTACCAATATCGCACGAGGCAGCTAAACTTGAGGTCAGTGCTGGTCCGCTAGACTTTAATCAAAGAACCATATGGCTGGCCGGCACTTTGGCAACCAAGGAAGCCCGGGAAAATAAAGCAAATGTGGATCGTTCTCAGACTTGAGCATGGTATTCCTTGATTCTGACATTGTGGCCTAGCTCTCCCATTCGTCCTCGATCGTATGACTTGAAAGCCAGAAAGTGAAGGCATCAACATGAATGAATTATCTCGAAGAACAAAAATAGCATCCGAAGGCTGCAGTCTCGCACTTGATGCGGGGGTTGGATACAAGAGTGGGGATGGCATGGAGATCAGGTATTACAGGGTAATTACCAGCTCTTTCTCTAGCTGCTGAGAGATGGTATACTATCCAAACAGTCTCCGCATACCTGTCTGAAACCAAGACTTGACAATCACTTGGATCTCAAGACAGGCAAAGTATTTCGTAGAATGCGCCATCCCTTGTGTGTCAATGATCAACCAGGAAGGATACTGGAATGTATCACCCGGACAGAATCGTTGTGTTATTGGGGTTGTTGCTTAACTCCTCCTTAGCAGACCCCGCAAACTATGGATGGCTGCAGTGGCATCTTCTTTGGCAGGGATGGCTATCACCATTTGAAGCAGACCGTTATTTACGAACGCAGGGTGACACAAACGAATGAAAAGGGAGATTGATACCTACAGCGTATAGAATATTGAGACTAGGTATGTGTGCAGGTATGCAAGCATGGGTAGGTGGCTAGATAGGATGATCGACTTTTCTTTCGACAACTGCACGGGCCTAGTTGAGCAGTATCTGATTCGCAGGCAGTCCCAAGTAGGTGCATGGAATGACGCCCCGGGCGCATTATCCGCCAGCCATGGTGATGAGCTTTTCTAGACTAGAGCATGTCAATGTTCTTGGAAGATGACCTCTGAATTTCTGAAAAGCTTGCTGCGGAACGCGACCTTGGTCCCAGCGAAGGAGGATTAAGATTGACGGGCGGCGACATGGGAGACCTGAGCAGTAGTAGTAGCTGAGGCCGATCACGGTCGGTGATAGTTAGCCAATGGTAGGAATTATTCTCAACGGACAACGAATGATGCATGTCTCGATTGACCCAATAAAATGCCAGAGGGGCTGAAGATATTAGATGTGAGCGGAGTCGTGGTACTAAGGCATGCGGTCTTTTAGGCTGGAAGGCTAGCAGGACGAGAAGCGAATGAAGATAGTGACTTCTTCGGAGTGGAGGTGCCCGTCCAGAATCTCAGTCCCAGAAGTCGGTAATTCCGACTCGATCCTGTATCATGAGGTACTGATCACCCACAATAGCTGTAAATTATTCCTGAGCCTTGCCTACTTTAGTATTGGTGCTGCCCGCTTGGCTGAGCAGATGGCCGTCGTCACCTGGAACTGTTTCCAGGGTCTTGAACAGGATGGAGGGAGGGCCGGGGTGTAGGTCTCCCATGATTGTTGTGGTCATGAGGGACGTGAAGCTGCAGGTTCAGTGAAGGTGGTGTGCTCCATGAATTGATCCGACTCGGACAGTGCAGGCTGTTACGGAAGAGAGATGCTGTGGCTACAGAAACCACGCCCCCCTCCAAAAGACACCATGAAATGGGAGCAGATATGCATGACTTTGAAAGGACTATTGAGCTGCCAGATATACGCCAGCCTCACCTTGTCACTGGTGATTGAGACCACCTTAAGTCTTGGCTACCTCCGATTCGTCCTGGAAGCGCCCACGGAAGAAAAGACGAGCGAGATCCCTGCACCAAGCCTTCTCGGGGTAACATTGATAGCACTTACTTTCGGGGTTTGCTATGCGATCCGTGGAAATATTTATTGAAATTAAAACAATCAGACTTTCATGACTTCTCCCGATTTTAGTGATATTTTGGATGGGTGCGACTGCTATAGTTATACTCATTCTCGAGTCGGAACTTGTTCCGGATGACCTCGAGTCGAAGGCTACAGAGTACTTACTTCGACCGGGAACCGGGCTGCTGTGGGTAGGCGTGTAACTCACTAGCTTCTGGCTATGCATGAATTACATCAGTCTGGATCAAATGAAGTATGGGGGATCCTGCTGGTATCCTTATCGTCCACATGTCTGTGCAATAGTTAATTTGAATCTTTTGGAAAGCGTGGCTCACCATGGTGCTCATACTTAGTTGATTTACCGGTTCCAATGGGAGGTAATCAGGGCGTGCAAACTTCAAGGTACGGGGCATCTCCCGTCAAATCAGGCCCGAACCTGCTGCAAATGGAGACTGAACCTCCGTCTCCAATGCTGGACCAGCCAGTCGCAGTAGTTCTGAGGGTGTCTGGCCCCAATTCTGCAGCCCTGCATCTTTTGGTCCAGACCAGACTTGGCCTGTGTTCTCCCGCTTTTTCTTTTTCCATTTTTCGTTCCTTTTTTCATTCGCCTTTTTCTCCTGGGGCCCGTACTAATTTCTCATGCGGGTTCCGATGTCTGCTTGCTGCTTTTCCTTTTACCCCTTGCCCCCCAAGGCACATCCGAGCATTCATCCACCATCAACGTCCCTACTTACTTATTAGTACTTAACAGTACCAGTTAATTTAAGGTCATCACCTCCGTAAAAGTCAGCGCATAGCAACACGAATGGAGTAATTTTAAATTTTTATTTTTTTTATTCTTCCACCTTATTATTATTACTGCCATTCCTGTATTATTATTATTGCGATGATATCGTTAATTTTGGTTTTATTACTATCATCATTGCTGTATTCGCCCACCCACTTCCACCTCCCTCCTTCCCCTCCCCTCCCTTCTCCTCTCTCTCTCTCCCCCTCGGGCTCTACGTATTCTTTTACTATTTCCCTCTCCTACTCGGTTCTCTTTTCACTCTAGTTTCCTCCCCCTTTCTCCTTCCTCTTCCTCTTTCTGCTTAAACCGGTTAGCCGCCAGTCAAGGAGCTAAGGAATAAGCCACTCTCCACTATCATCAACCGGCTTGCTTGACCATATCAAAGCACCACCGCACCTGGGCTGATTTCCCCTTGGACTTCCGTGCTCCCCTGTCGCTCATCCCGACTGTAGAAAACCGTCATCAGACCGTGTCCAACTAGTGGAAAAAAGGTCTCTCTTAGCCGCTGGCTACACTTTTGACACTTCCTTTGCCCATCGACTAAGCGAAAGGGACGAACCCACAGCACAAGAATCCGATCATCAACCGCCGATCAGATTACTTTCGGGGGGCCCTCTTTTAGAGTTCCTTTTCACCTTAACTTCCCTCCCGCTGGCCAACAACCCGTCAGCCCCAGTGCAACAAGCGATCATACCCTAGATCGTTTACGTTACAGCTATTATTCTTCTCCAACTAACTAACTAACCTAACTACCGGGCTGTCTGGCCGGTGACCTTTGCCTTAACCTTGCCTGAACCTTTTGTCATTATTACCTACTACCAACTATTTCGTACCACTTAAAAACAAAAGAGGTCATCAAACGAGTCAAGAGGAGCTGCTTGCGCCCTGGCTCAACCACGTGATCCCCTACTTTCAAACAGTCCTGCACTTCACACGCTCGAACCCTTCCATTCCTGCGATCATCCCCAGACTTGACTTCCAGATCGTGCCGGTCGCATATGCTTTTCTGCTCGTCTGCCGCCCTGTATTCTGGACATTGGAGGGCGGATTGATTGGATCTGCTCATTGCGAACGAGTCTTTTAGTGCTGCGCACTAGCCTTATTCAAGGCGGTGGTCCGGGTCCCAGAGCTAAGCAACTTACTGGTACTACCACCTTAGTAACCTGCCTCCATCCCATCCATTCAGTACGTGCGAAGAGCCAGGAGGCGTGACTGCACCCTCTCTCTCTCCTCTTCTTCTTCCTTGCCGGCGCAAACCCCCCTCCCTCCCCTTCTCGGCGGTAACCCTGGTGGTCATTGTCCTCCGACTCCTCTCTATCTATCTCTCTCTCGCTCTCTCTTTTCTTCTCTCGCCACTCTTCTCTCCCTTCCGTTTTTTGGTTTCCCCGTCGGCTTAAGTGAACCTCGCTCTGCTACCCTCAATGCTCGGAGGGAGCTTAGAGCGAGATTCTTCACCATCAAACTCAAAACCGACCACTGGAGAAGCGCTCATGCCTATCGCGACGAGTCCCCCCGACTCCAGTAAGTTTTCAACTCCGTTGTTCCTGGCTTCGCAATCAAATTCTCCGATGCGCTTGGGTTGGTTCCGAGTGCCGTTGCTGATATCTCCTTTGTTAGATCCTGAACCGCCGCCTCAGGACCAGCCCGCCACCACCGATGCGTCGCCTCCGTCGAACCATGTAGAGCCCGTCAATGCGGCTCAAGAGTCCGTCGCACCGGCCCAGGGCTTGGTAGAGGACTCTGCAGCCACGTCTGCTGACGCACCGAAGAAACATCATCTACTGTTGCCCATCCCGTCGCGTGCATCCTTAAAAGCGGATCGACAATCTACGCTGGACAAGAGTCAAGACACCGCTCACGATGACTCCGAGAATACTCTTCGCGGTTCGAAAAGAAGCATATTCAAGGGTCGTAGGGACCGGAGCAGAGGTAGCAGTATGAGGTCGCGTCGGCAAAATCAGGAGGGGGCGAGTATGGAGGAAGACAAGTCGGCAAGCCCTGACTTGCGTGATCCGGCCAAGCCAGAGAGGAGAAGCAAGGTCTCGTATAGGTTGTTCGCCTTCTTGAGCTGTTGTTCCTCGCCCAGCGATGATTCGGAGGACCCTGCCATCCCAGCGAAGAGGACATCCAGACAGCCATCGGTTCCCCACACCCAGGCCACTCCGGAGAAGGCCGACACCAATGCTGGTGATTCGAGCACCGCGGAATCCAAAGACCCGAGCTACTACCGGGATGAGAAACCCAACATGACTGTGACGTCGAACCAGTCCATGTCTCAAGTAGACGAAGAGCGCACTGTGACTACTTCCGAGCAGGGCGCTCAGCTCGATGGTGCAACGGTACCTTCGGGTGCGGCAGAGACAGAGAAAGTACCGACTTTGCCACAGGACAGTGCTGAATCACAGGGGCTTGGTGTAGGCCAGAGTACTCAACCTTCTACTACGACCGCCGAAGCAAGCGCTGTTGCCAGCGAAGCGGAGGAACCCGCTCAGAAAACAGAGGAGCAAGCGATCTCTCCTCTCACTGAAAAGTCTCAGGATGCTCCGACTGCTCCTATAGAACTGGATGAATTGCCTAAGCCCCCGGCGTCCGAGAATAGCTATGACGACGAGAAGTATACTTCACACGACGAGGAGGCGACAGTAATTCCGGCTGAATTGCCTCCGCCGATGGGCCCGTCCGGACACCACGCCGACACAATGCTAGAGGAGACGCAACAGCAATTCCTCTTGCCGCCACCTCTTCCCCATCTGCGGGACAGGAAATGCTTGGTTCTTGATTTGGACGAGACGTTGGTTCACAGTAGTTTCAAGGTCCGCCATCCTCAGCTTATCATCAACCCAGTGCTAGACTAACCTATGTTATCAGGTTCTTGAACGCGCCGATTTTACCATTCCCGTGGAGATTGAAGGTCAATATCACAACATCTACGTTATAAAAAGACCTGGAGTCGACCAATTCATGAAAAGGGTGGGTGAGTTGTATGAAGTGGTTGTCTTTACCGCTTCCGTGTCGAAGGTGAGTTATTTCAAAATAAGAATTATCGGCTACGCATTTGCTCATGCTTCATTAGTACGGTGATCCTCTGCTGGATCAGCTAGATATTCACAACGTTGTCCACCACCGACTGTTCAGGGATAGTTGCTATAACCATCAAGGCAACTATGTCAAGGTTTGTCCTGCCCAGTGTACATTCCCTTGCGTGAGTTGTTTGCTGATACCTGGTTAGGATCTTTCTCAAGTAGGCCGCGACCTACGAGACACGATTATCATCGATAATTCCCCGACTTCGTATATCTTCCACCCTCAACATGCGATACCCATCAGCAGCTGGTTCTCTGACGCCCACGATAACGAGCTTCTCGATCTGATTCCCGTCCTCGAAGACCTTGCCGGGGCACAAGTGAAAGACGTTAGTCTGGTTCTCGACATTGCATTGTGATGCCTGTACCTCTAGTTTTTCTGGCATTTGCATTACAGCATGCTTATCTTCGCCTTGCGGGTCCAGTCGGTTTTCAAAAGAAAGAGTCATCTGATTTTTGATCAACTATACGCATGGAACGTCTGCCGTGTCGAGCAGCCAGACCGTCCGGGCAGCTCAGTCCAGCTTCGTCTGGGATCTGAACGCTCGCGGCAGTTCCACAGTGAAGATGTGTTTTCCTTAACTTTTCCTCCCCATTTTTACCTTTTTACCTTTATCCCCATGTCATTCGCACCGTTTTTCTTCCGAGCACCGGCCATGTTCTTGCGCTCCCAGCGAGCAGATACCAGATTACCCCCGCCAGTCTTGTTTCCTAGTGTTTAAGTTTCCTTTCCTGTTGCATACCGCAGGCGTCAGTCTTGGTCATCAGCCAAAATTTTGCTGATCTCATGTATACGCTCCCCGATTTACATTCCCTCTTTTCTTTCATCTGTCTCTTTCTACTTTTGATTCCTTTCATCATCCCCATTTTGTTCTTTTTGCTTAACATGCAGCCCATAAGAGGCTCGACCCGCCGTCCTGGTTTATTTCCTAGTCTCTTTGTGCCCGAAGATGTGAACCCCAAAACCCAGCGTTGTTTTTGTCATTGGTTCGCCATGGTCTATTTCTTGGAGACTCTCCTGCGCGTGGCATTTTGATTCATGTCTCAAGCGCCCGTCGCTGCTTCTGGTACACGCATAGTCCGAACGGTTCCAGACTTACATGGGATCGGACTTTGCCATGTATATGTACTGATTGGGCGTGCGTGCTGTACATAAAAGCGTCCGCCTCCACCATCCAGCTTGTCCCGTGTCTAAGTAGTTTTGAATTGACCATTTCACGAGACGGCCGAGTTCCAGAATAGTATAGATCAGAAGTAACGAGTAAAACAGGCAGTAACGCATAATGGACAGGATTATTGGCGATATATCGAGCATCTAGACTACAGCGTAGAGTGGATCGCCTCTTAACGGCGAAGGCGGGCTGAGATCACGCCGCGGCAATAATGACCGATCGGTCGGTCATCTCCAAATCTTCCATCGCATCCCGCTTTTGTCCGCACTACATCGTGTCAGCTCATGTGAGTATTCCCCGATTAGCCCCGTCCTGAACTCTTTCATACATATATACATACATAATTCCCCTGCAAGGCTGTGTCCGCTCCCTTGAGCCTCCATCCAAAGCTCCGACGATCTCCTGATATTTCTTGGCAGCGTCATACCCAATCTCCCCGCCTCCAACTGCATCACCACCAAAGCACTTTTTTTTACAAGGACCACCCTACACACACACACACGCCCACACCCCATCGTTCAACATGAAGGACAAAAACGGCTGGGACGGAAAGCTACGGGTCGAACCGAAAGCCACGATCACGAACCCGGAAGCCCTAGAAGACCCCGATTACTCGGACTCGGATGCGCCGCCCGTGGAGGAGATCGAGGCCGATGAGGGTATGTCAATCAACAACCATGAATCCCGGGATGCTGTGGCGTGGTATGCCGGTGATGCGAAGGACAATATACTGATGGTTGGGCTTTGTGTGCAGATCTATTGGAGGATGAGGACCCAGAAGCAGAGGTATACGCTGATACTTCTTCCGACGCGACGCGTTCGTTGATTGATGGACACAGCCAGCTAACTAACACACCTCGCATCAGGAAATCGACCTCGTTCACTGTCGCATAACTTCGATTCCGGCGTTGCGGTTGGAGCGGTTTCCCAAGGTGGAGGTATGGCAGGGATATCCAGTATTTGTGTGGTCGCACGACATAGTGCTAATCGGACGGTGGATGATATAGAGATTATGTTTCCGACAGAACCAAATCACGCGAATCGAATTCCCCACGGAAGTTGCCAAGTCGTTGACGGAACTCGATCTCTACGATAACCTGATATCGCATGTGAAGGGGCTTGATGAGTTTGAGCATTTGACCAGCTTGGATCTTAGCTTCAATAAGATTAAGCATGTTAAGAATATTTCGCATTTGGTCAAGTTGACGGATCTGTATTTTGTGCAGAATAAGATCTCGAAGATAGAGGGCGTGGAGACGTTTACGTCGTTGAGGAATTTGGAGCTTGGAGCGAATAGGATTCGGGTGGGTTTTGGATGTGCCTGAGATGATTGTTGGGGTATCGTTCTGACTGCTTGCAGGAGATTGAGAATCTGGATAATTTGAAGGCGTTGGAGGAGCTGTGGTTGGGGAAGAATAAGATCACGGAATTGAAGGTACGTCTGTTGCGCTGTGAGTCTTGGGTGTGGTATGAGTTGGTTGACTGACTGCGGTGATTATAGAACCTCGATGGCCTCTCCAACCTGCGCATCCTCTCTATCCAGTCGAACCGTCTCACGAGTATCAGTGGGCTCGCGAACCTGAAGAATCTAGAGGAACTCTACGTGTCGCATAATGCGATCACCGACCTTAGCGGTCTCGAGGAGAACACCTCGCTGCGCGTGCTGGACTTTTCCAACAACCAGGTGTCCAAGCTGGAACATGTGTCTCATCTGAAGAATCTGGAGGAGCTGTGGGCGTCCAACAACCAACTGTCGAGCTTCGATGAAGTGGAGCGCGAACTCCGGGACAAGGAGAAACTCCAGACGGTGTACTTTGAGGGCAACCCGCTACAGACGAGAGCGCCGGCATTGTATCGGAACAAGGTGCGGTTGGCGATACCGCATATCATGCAGGTTGACGCGAGTAAGTCTTCTTCCTTTATCTTTTGACGCTTAGAGATGCTAACGAAACGTAGCGTATATCCGCGTTGTGTAAGGGAACGGTTTCTTCATCTTACATGCCATTAACCTCATCCATAGCTATTAATGTACCCGCCCACCACCTACCCATCACCTATTAGAATTACAATAAACGAAGTGACGTACGTAGCCCGCTATACATACATGTACAACCCAACCGATCCAACCTATTATACAGAGGAAAAAAAGGAAACAAATCATACAATCATCATCCCAACATTCCTCTTCACCTCACTTCGTCCCCTCACCCTCCCCGATGTCATCCTTCCCCTCCTTCTCCCCTTGCCCTTCCATCCCATTCCCACTCTCACCCTCACTCTCCACCCCAAACCGATACAACCCCATCAAACTCTTCCCCCCAAATCTCCACACATCCCGATCCAGCATCCTCTTCACCCGCTCCGGCACATGCGCTTTCCTCCTCATCGGCCCATCCGCCAGATAATCCAACGGTATGCCACTCTTCACCAGATCCTTGTACATATGGCTTCCCTTATCCACGTAGAAGAACGTATGGTATGGATTGCGCGTCATCGCCGAGACGTGGTTATGTCGTGAGGGCTGGATCGTGCATGTTAAGGTCGGTCCTTGGGGTTGTGGTTGTGGTTGTGATTGTGATTGTGTGGGGTGTGTGGCTGTATGCGAGGGAGATTCATCTTTTCCCTCTAGACTCTGGCTTTGCGATTGATTTTGTGTTTGAGATTGTACAGGGATAGTAATCGGCGACGCCGCAATAGCCGAAGACGCCGCGGCCGCGGACTCGAAGATTGCGATGGTATTGTGGGCGGATTTGGGGGATGTGTTTGTGGGGTCGTACTATATTCACCATTATTGTATTTAGCATTTTTTTGGTAAACGAGGGAGAGGGGAGAATGGGGAAAGGGGAAAAGGGGGGAAATTACTTTTAGATTTCGAAATGTCACGACTTCGCCGAATTTCTGGAGTGCGGAGAGAATGAGTTTGCTTTCGGAGAGGGAGCGCGGGGCTGGATGCGTTTTGATGTGGATGCTGCTGGTTAGGGGTTTTAGGGTCATTTTGGCTTTTTATTATTGGGATTAGGGTTGGTGGTGTGGTGGTGATGGGTTCATGGTATGAAATAGGTGGATGTGAAGGTGAGAGTGATGGAATGGGATGGGATGGATGGAGAAATGTTGGTTATCGCGATGCGGTGGTCTTGGCGGGTTTATCTTATCTATTATCTACGACCATGTCACATGCATCAAAGTTTAACATCTACAAGATTGGTATGTATTCATATATCGTATATACACTCATAGCTGGGTCGTTTAGAAAATAGGGGCGTAGAGTCCGTACTATGATTTTAAGTTAGTAAACATTTCCACATATTCATACAATGGAAGAAAGGGGATAAAACTCACTCCCAGAGGATCATTGAACCGCAACCCGCGATCCAACCCAGCAATGGCCTGAATCTCCTCCTCCTCCAAGTTCCACCCGGTAACATCCAAATTCTGCTTCAACCGCTGAGGATTGTTACTCTTAGGAATAACCGCCACACCCCTCTGTGTGGCCCACCTCAACAACACCTGCGCCGGCGTGCGTCCATACTTCTCTGCAATGCCCTTAACAAGCTGATGCTCAAACAACGGCGGCGAATCCACCGCATTCTGCACGCTCAACTCAAGGAAACTCAACGGTCCAAAAGAACTGTACGCCGTAACGGTCAATCCTTCCTTCTGGGCATACTCGACCAACCTCGTCTGCGTGAGGTAGGGATGATGCTCGATCTGCAGCGTGGCAGGACGGATGCGCGCATACCGCAGCAGATCCATGACCAGCTGCGCAGAGAAGTTACTAATACCGATGCTGCGAGCGAGCTTCTTGTCCACGAGCGACTCCATCGCCGTCCAGGTCTCTTTGATCGTGGCGTTGCCGAACTCCAGCTTGTCGTTCTCGGACATCCAACCCGGCGGGTAGCGGACCGCAGGGTCGACGTATTTCAGGGCGATGGGGAAGTGCACAATGTACAGGTCGAAGTAGTCGATACCCCAGTCGGCGAGCTGCTTGCGGCAGATGGGTTCTACGCGGTCGCCGTCGTGGAAGCTGTTCCAGAGCTTGGAGACAATGAAGAGCTCTTCACGCTTGACGAGACCATCCTTGATGGCCCGCGCGACGCCTTGGCCGGCTTCGACTTCGTTGCCGTAGTCTGGTTTGTGTTAGATTGGGAATTATTGGTGGTGTTTTATGGGGGGAGCATAGTACCGCAGGCGCCGTCAAACAGACGGTATCCTTCCTTGATGGCGTGGTAGATCTGGTCAGCGCAGGTGTCGTTGTTCACCTTCCAGAGACCGAAGCCCACGAGGGGCATGTCGTAGCCGCTGTTTAGCTTGACGGTGGGAGAGGCCATGGTGATTGAAGGAGTAACAAGGTCGTGTTGAGACAAGGTATAGAGACGCGATCAAAGAAGGATCGGGGGGGATGAAGGGAGAGAAAGGGAAGGTTTGGAGGGGTAATAAGTAACTGCCCCTCGGTCATGGCATTATGAACTCAAATCCATTGCGCGTATCCACTGGAGGCGCCATACACGGCACAGATAGCGGCATTGGAGGCTAAATGAAATGGTGGCGGCTGTATTGTATTGGGGTAGTAACTTATCCAAGGGCTGGCCGGATGCCATCCAAAGTCGGGCCCGGCTAAATGCATCCATCTGCCGGCTAAATGCCGCCACTTGACCCTAATTTTGGTTATGCCACTACGGAGTACTGTGTTTACAAGTCGGAGAATAATGCTTACTACTGCTAGATTTTAATAAGTATGGTGATAAGAAAAATGAATAAATAATCATTGTAAAAGGTATCCTGCCATTATTGTACACTGCATATGAATCGAAGATTAACCGGCCCATCACATTATTAAGAATACTTTTTTCGCCATAATTATCATTAAGTAGTCTCGCTCGGCCTGTCATTAAACGGCCTGTACTGTATTACTCGCGGTGTAAGAGTGCGCGTGCTCATGCGCTCCTCCATTCATATCGGTCGGCAGGCTGCTCGGCCACTTATCGAGCTCCTCGGGCATAAAATCATAGCTGTGGCTTGGATTTGGCTCACGGGGCACCGCAACGTGGTGCTCGGATGACGGGAAGCCAATGTGCGGATAGTGGCTGCCGGGGATGTCCCCGGACATTGCAGTGGTTGGTGGCATCCAGGATGCCTGGCTGTTGTTCATATCGTCCATAGACTGTGCGCTCGTCACCAGCATGCCGTTCAGCAGGGCGTTGTTGTCGTGCACATTGACCCCAAGTGGTTGGCTGTGGACATAGTGGTTGTCATGCTCAAGGCTGTATGGACCATGGGAGGAATGCGACAAAGGCACTTCTGGCATGCTAAGAATGCTTGTGCCACTGTTGGGCCCGTTGAGGCTGGTTGGCTGGCTAATATCATGTGATTGGAGGCTTGGGAAGCCATCCAGACCCAAGGTCACAGCAATCTTATCGTTAAGGCGGTCTTCTTGCTTGGGAAGGGGACTCATGAAATCAAAAGGTGCGTTGAACATTTGTGCAACGCTCTCCTGGCCTGTAGAATACAGAGGCCAAGGGTTTTGAGAAACTCCATTGTTGTGAAGGAGCTCGTGCGGTTGGGGTTGATGGTAAACGTTAGGGCCCGGCCGGTTCAAGAGTATCGAGTCAGCTAGCGACATCGGAGGAGGGAGATCGATGCCCGTCGCTGCTTTGGGGCTTGCGTGAGGGATTCGATCCGAAGAAACCACTCTGCGCCATGTTGTGGTGCCAACTACATCGCGGGGCAGCGTCTGTCGGAATTTCCAGAGAATGATTGCCACCCTCTTCTTCTCACTCACGGCATGTCCAGAGTAGGGGTTGGACATTCTTCGTGAGCTGTAGGGTGTCATAGCCCGAATCTCCTGAACTACGGTCAGGTGGCGGAGGAACTCCCGAGCTTGCTCGTGGCCATGGTGTCCAGCATCCTCGGCCAGCTTTTGATCTTGCGTGAGCTTGGTGAAGCGGTTCGCCCACCATTTGGATTCAAAGTGAGGCTTCACCTTGGTGTGCGTCGCGGTGTGCGTCGGCCTCGCAACTTCTTGACGCCCTTGATAGATCTCTTGGCCATTTTCATACATGTAAATCTTGGAGGACCAATTCTCCATCTCACTGAGAATCGGAACTCCAGCCGCACTAGCCTGGGCAAAATCTAATTCCAGGTGAATGCCGAGTTTAGAGCGAGCAGCCGGGAAGTCATCCATCAACTTCAGGTTGGATTCGATTAGAATAATGTCACAGTCCAACGACCCATTGGAATTCGCCATCAGCGAATTGAGGTAAGGAAAGGATGTTTGCCAGTTCCTGATCTCATTCAAAGAGATCGGTGCTACCGGATGCCGCTGGTCGTCTTGAAGGCGACTGTAGATATGGCTTGCGTCCTCAATACGATCGTTCTTGTCTGGCTCGTTTACCCACATACCGAACCCGAGGCCTTGGATAGTACTGAAGTTGCTCTCGGGCCAGCTAGCGTTCATGGAAAACGGGGTAGGCGGCAGCTCTCCATAGGCCTGTCTCATAGGGTCATGATAGGTGGGGTGGAGGTGAGTGCCATAATGACTTGACAAGGGAGGATCCATGGCAGGCCCCCATCTTGGACCAGCGGGCGGATGTTGGTTGTTCGAGCGGACGTTCGCCTCTTCTCGTACGAGTCGCTCCCCTAGTCACTTATATTAGCTCGGTCCGACTTTGGTATACTTGGCTTTGCCACTTACAATCGGGGTCTCCTTTGAGGAACGAGTCGAGGACTTGGAGGTGGCTGGAGACTTGCTTTCGAGTTCTTCGTTTACCAGTTTTCTTGTAGATGAACTCAGCAATGAGCTCATTTCGACCATATGACTTTCCTCGCTCGGACCATTTCCGTCTGCCCATTGGCGGATTCGCCTCGAGAGCTATCACAACATTAGTATTCATATGTCGTGCAGCTAATATATTGTTTTTCTCACCTTGTTGAAACGCGTCTTCAAGCTCGTCCGACCATACCGGTTCCCCATCTTTGCCAGTGTCTCGACGTGGACGGGACCTGTACTCCAGATACTTGCTGGACCTGAGATAGCTTCTGGGCCTGCTACGAGGACCGATTAGGCTGGGCCCAAATGAATGCAGGCGCCGGAGCTTCTTGCTCTGGAGCCGGAGGTTCTGAGGGGGCTGAAGGGTGGTGGGAACAGTGGGCACTGGATGTGTTGGAACTGGGGGTTGAGGATACTTGAAGGCAAGTTGCTGCAGCTGGTCGTCACGACCAACAGTGCTGCTGTCGGCTAGGTTGTCAGAGTATGTCTGGACGTTCCCAGAGGTGTTCTGCAGGGCCCTGTCCGTATGGGCACCGATGCTCTCAAGAGCTGACTGGTGTTGAGGCACAATACACCCCGTTTGCCAGTGCGCCATCGAGCGGACCACCGGAGAGGATTGACTCTGGGAAAGAATGACAGAGAATGCCAAAGAGGAGGGTGATGGAGGATAGCAAAATGCCTACTACCGCCGTACCAAAGAACCCAGTAGTCACAAACCAGCGATCAAGAACGTAGATGCTTGGAGAGAATGTAAGAATTGGGAGAGAGAATGTGGGAGCGAAGAGCATGGTGTTTATAGGAAACCACTACTCTCCCTGGAGAGGGAGGCCTAGTGGCATAGCTGAATCACGCTGCTCGTTGATACACCACCCCTCCAAGGGCTATGTCAACTGTTCAAGGCGGGGAAAGGAATCTCCTCCCAAGCTTCACGCGTCCAGGTCGAGCTATGAACGAAGGAAGATCCTGTGTCCGAGCAAATCAGGAGGAAAGGAACTGCACGATGGGAACAAGCGGAAGACCCATGCAAGGGATGCTCCCTGAGCACGAACCAGTGAGCTGCTCCTCGGAGGTTTTAGTGCACGAGACAAGCAGTGACTGCTAATTTGAGATACGTTTTGGAGCAGCTAGACGTCCAAGTCCGTGGCAATGGCCATTCTGTGGAATGAGGAGTGGCCAACGACATCGTCCAGTGCCACGGGAGTGGAATGTAAGAGGTGGTTACGTAGATCATATTGGAATGTATGGCCAGGACAATCTGGACAATCCCAGGACCAACTAGTCTTCACTTGGATATCCAGGGTTTCGAGCAACTAGGTGTATAAGGAGTTAAGGGTAAGAAGCCTTGAATCGGCGAGGATAAAGGAACCCGGGATGGGATGACAGGAATAGACTCGGATGAAAGACTTCACTGCACGAGCGGACGGGCAACTCTGCAGGACGCGCGCGTATGTACGTGTTGACAGCCGCAGGAACGTGTTTAACCTGCGTCCGCAGTCCATGCTCAGTGTCCGAGACGCAAGGGATATAAACATCAAAATCGTACCATTGCTATTGTCTGTCCCTACTAACAGGGAGAAAGAGCAGGGACTTAGTCCTCTTCGCCGTCCTGGGCCCCTACAGTGAACTTCTTGCGCCCAGGCCCGGCAAGCTTTTGTAGCTTGACCCTGTCCATCTGTTCCCCTACTTTCTTTTCGATCTGCTTGATTTCTTCCTCGGCATCGATCGCCTCCTCGTTTGCAAACTCCAGGACCAGCTTTCTGCCCAGAAGATGGGTATTCTTCAACGCGTCCATAGCGTTTTCCGCTTCGCGAGCGCTTACAAAATCCGCAAAACCGAAACCGCGAGCCGATCTGTCAAACTTCTTAGGAACCCGCACAGAGCGCAGTTGCCCATAGGCTCCAAAGAGTGACCGAACGTCCTTCTTGGTGGCCTGGAACGGCAAGTTCTTAATGATGATCTTCGTCCTTCTGGCCGCAACCTTCTTCGCGGTATCTTCACGCCTCCGCTCTTCAGCCGCATCCATTCCACGGTGAGACACCCTAACTACCAGTTCATGCTGATCAAGCTTGTAGCCATTCATGGCGGCAAGCGCAGATTGGGCCTGAGCTTTCGACCTGAACTCCACGAAACCGAAACCCATGCTGAGCGTCTGTCCGGGATGCTTAGGGTCGGGCTTAGTCTTGATCTTAGCAGACACAAAGCCATCCAGTGGCCGGAATAAGTCCACAAAACTCTGGGTCGTAGTAGCAAAGTTGAGGTTCTTTACGAAGAGGGTTGTAGTGGGCGTAAGGTCATCAACCTCATCTGCCGCGAAAGTGTCAGCAGTGGAGAAGCCTTGAGAGACGGCCTTAGTCTCTATGGTTGCCTTCTGTGGCACGGCTGCAGCATCAAACAGATCCTTGGGAGCCTTCTCCAGGAAGAGGATAGAGTCTCCGAGTTTCCGGTAGGCAAGTCCCTTGAAAGCTTTCTGGGCCTCATCTGGTCTCGAAAACTCAACGATAGCTATCGTTCCACTAGGGGGCATGAGTAATCTCGTTATTTGCCCGAATGGTTCGAACATTTTCCTGAGCTCATCAGTCTTGACGCCGTACGAAAAGTTCTTTACAAGGATAGCAGTGTTTCCACGCTCCCGCTGCTTGAAGGCTTCAATATTAACCCCATTGGCTGAGAAGTAAGCTTTCGTTTCTTGAATTACGTGAGTTTCAGCGTGAGCCTGCTTCACAGCAGCGTCAGATGAAGTAGGGTCCAAGAGATCTGCTTTGGAAACACCAAGTCGCTCAGCTACTGATGACATAACGGCATCGGTCTGCAATATATTAGCGTATGGTACTGGCGGCTATTGTGCGAGCTACTCACGTTCATGTAAAGAGAGTTCCAGCTAAACGTAGAAGACGAAGCATCCATCTTCTTTTTGATTTGCTTTTGCTTTTTTAAAGGCAGTTTCGCCAGCTCAGCATCATCAATTTTGTAAGTCTTCTTCGCAGCTGCTGGCAAAATATGCATCAAGCGACCTTGGAAGTGCTTTCCGTCGAGATTCTTGTAGGCCTCTACGGCCGCATCTGCGTCAAGGTACTGAATGTAGGCAAACCCCTTGCTGGTATTAACCCTGGTATCGAAAGCCACATGGATCTAGGTACATTAGCATAATTCAAATAACTAATGAATGAATCAAGCAGCAATATCAAGGTGTGTAGCTCATCAGATAACAAGAGGCATCTACTAAAACACTCTTTCCTGGTAACATCATGTGCTTTGCATCTGATGTCCCTATCAGGACGATCATCATTGAGCTGGGTAGGGGTCGTGGATGGCAAAAATTCAAACTCATGGATTTACTAACCTCTTCAATTCGTCCAAAAGGAGAAAATAGCGGTTCGAGATCTGATTCTGAGGTGTCGTAAGCAAGGTTTCGCACGAACAGACGTGCAGATAGACGAATGCTCTCGATGTTCGTGTCGACCTGCGGCTCCTGAACCGTCTTGGCTTCAGTCGCGGCGGGAGCGACAATCTGGGCATCCCTAGAGTCAGCAGCTGGATCCTCTGCTTCTTCTGGAGCTGCAGACTCCTTATGCTGCGCAGCAGCGTCGAAATCCGCTTGCTCTTCCTCATCAAGCAGACCCAGAAGGCGACTTGTCTTGGATCGGAGCCAGTCCGCATCCGAAACAGCCGGCGCCTCTGTCTCGGCAACAGTATCATCCTGCTCTGCCGGTGCCTCGGCGTTGCCTTCCCCACTATGGTCTACCACCATGGGTTCGGGTGATCCATGAGCTTCGCGATCAGCTGTGTGCATCTCTTGAGAGCGATCATGGTCATCGCCAAGCTTCGCCTTCTTCCTTTGTGCATAGGTAAGCTCCTGAGGTTGCTCCTCTACTTCAGCGGGCTGTTCTGCAGGTGAGTCAATCTCCGGCGGCTTGGGCACATCATCATTTGCCCATGTCTTGGTCTTAGACGAATGTTGCATTACGGAGAGATACTCTTGCAAGCGAGCGTCTTGCGGGGCGTTTTCGCCATCCCGTTTACGCTTGAGGGAAGTATCTGCGGCATCTCCTGCAGAGATCTTATCATGTTTTCCAGCTTTGCGAGTGGGTTCGGCATCGATCTACAAGATTACTGGTCAGTCACAAGACCACCTTGACTGTCAGCGGGGAAAACAAAAGAAACAAAGCAAGTGGGGTTAGGGAGTAGAGCACATACCGGCTTAGCAATGTCTACTGAGATTTTCGACATCTTCATGTAAGTCTTATTGAAGTAAGACACAGCCTGCTGGGCCACCTCATGGCTCTTGAAGCCCACGAAGCCAATCCTGCGCTTAGGCAATACATGAGCGTCTGTGACTTGGAAGCGAGTAGCGAAGTGCTTCCTCAATTGATCATCAGATAAGGTTGGCGGAAGGCCAGAGACAAATACTCTGGTGCTCTCCATGATTGTGACAATGTGTGCCACGGAAATAGTTCCAAAGAAAAAGTTCGAAAAAAATTTGGTGGAATGTTTTTTTTTGCTTCCTTATAGTGCCGAGGGCGGTGAGGAGGGCGGCCTGGCCCGTGCGTGATCCGGGCGGCGTCCATTGCGCGCAGCCGGCAATGTTGATTCCCAATACTTCCATTGGGCTTCGTGGGACATCTTTGTACACTAAATTTATAGTTGTTGATCCGTGTCTTGAACACTTGCTCATTTCACCTATTTCTACATTCCTCATCGACGTCCAGCAAAATGGCTAGCGAAAAGAAGGATAAGCTCGAGGGTAAGTCCCCGAACGCTGCATCGTCAAGCGATGGCTAACATGACCGTTCAGCGCAGATCAAGTCCGTCGACATGGTAAGAGGGATTGCTGGAGGTAAATAAGAATTGTGCTCACAGCATGGCAGACGGAGGATATGCAGCAGGAGGCTGTTGAAGTTGGTATGGTCAGCCCTACGGGTCACCTGGGAAAGGAGAGCTAATACGATGGATAGCAATTGAGGCAATGGACAAGTACCACATTGAGAAGGTAGGTTCGGCGTTTTCTGTTAGTTGCCATTGCTAACGACGATAGGACATTGCTCAATACATTAAGCGAGAGGTCAGCACTTCGCACTGTATCCGAACCACAGCTCATTGCTCACAATCCACAGTTTGATTCGCGCAAGGGTGCGACATGGCACTGTGTCGTCGGGAGGAACTTTGGAAGCTTCGTCACGCATGGTGAGTGATGTTGGCAGGGCATCAGGAGTAAGCTAACTTTCGAGCAGAGACGAAACACTTCATCTACTTCTACCTCGGACACTGCGCCATTCTCCTTTTCAAGACCCAATGAACATACGACCGCAGACACCGGTCTGATTCGCCCAAGCGAAGTCTATAACCTTTTTCGGATAATTCAAGCAGAAGTAACGTGCAGTGAAAGGTCCCATGCAAGCGCTGGAAGGAAATGCAGCCATATGGTCCCGAACGAAATGCTGCGGGGTTTGCCTAGAGGGCACAACGCGGCGGTGATTCTTCCGCGCATCTACCTGCTACTTGATTCCAATTCTTTGTTAATCATTTCAAAATATCCTACTAGTGAATACAAGTTGATCCAATCGCAAAACTGCTGCAGCGCTGCACCGTAGACACGTAGGCTTTCCAGCATGCAGGATACACTGCCAACCACGACTACTACTATATATATAAAGCGCACCCAGCAACGCAACGACACCGCCGAGTGCGGAACGCCAAGTGCCAACCCGCGCCAAGCCACAGCGCCACACGTCAGCCCCAACCAGTCTATTATATGGCTGCCTCCCCCTTCCCATTGACTTGGGCTGCTGCCAATGTTATCCCTCTACACGTCGCATTACATGATCCAACGCGATCCCGATTCCTGTCATTTATTACCTTCTTAGTTAGAATAAACCAACCATCCTTTGTTCATCCTGAGAGCACTCCAAAGCCGTAAACATGGCCATCTGCATCACCTTCGGAACACATGGTATGTGACTTATCTACTCCCTTCCTTCCTACTCCACCGACCGAGGCGACGACCCTTATGATGAATTCCACCACACCCAACCAACAAAAAAGATGCCAAAACTAACACCAAAGGTATTCAGAGTTTACTTCCATGCTAGAAGGATACGAGAATGTCCGCGCATTCTGCTATAACTGTATGAGTCCCCTGGACCCTGACAATCATGACTGCTAATTTTAGCTCTGGTTCCTGACCCAACCAATAATTTACTCGATTATTGACTGACCCGTCTTCTTCCTTTGAATCTAGGCCAACATTGGAATGGTCATTGTTTGACGAGATGGTAAGCTTATACTTCACTAATACCTTTGGTTGAGGATATGTTTGGAGTTGTAACCATGCTAATGTATGATGATTTAATTAGGCCGTGGTTCACCGTCTGCTTCATTGTAATCATGTCCCCCGTCCGCATGACGCCGGACTAAACTGACCGTATATCCCCATATAGCCTGTCATCCCTCTCGCAACACATAAGTATAAGGTATGTTGGTATATCATTTTTCCCCTAACCTATATGCATTTCGGGGTATATCTAATGTCATCATAGGAAGTAACCTGCTATACATGCCGCTTTACGCAGGATCTACGGTAACTCCATCCCAACATATACCAGTAAAAAGGGAAGGGAAAGTAAAGAAACTAATACATAGTCGCAGCGACCGCCCTGATATCACACCAGAGACGAGGCCACCTCCGGGTGTCGTACCAGGCCAATTACCACAGGCGTACTATGGCGGCGGTGCACCTTTCTATCCTCCGCAGCAGGCATCAGGCCCACCTCCACAGGCGTCCGGGGGTGTGGTAGCGCCGCAGCAGCAGGCAGAGCAGCAGAATCATGTGTATAAATGATGAGTCTCTCCAATGATTTTTCGTTGATGATGTATTATGATCGATTGATGGTCTGTTGTCTGTATTTATCGAATACCTTTTGCTTGCTTGCTTGTTGCCATTGTGTCTGGTGGTTAGCTTACTAGCTAACGAGCATGTATTGTATCGGATTCTATTCTCTTTATTAGGGTGCATAGTATGTGAACTCATATTATCATACTATTTGAATTCAACATTATACAGTAACGAATGGGGTATATATCCAACCAATGAAGAAAGCAAAACATAACCATCCCAGACCCAACATATCCAGACATCAAACACGTATCTCATCAAGGGAAAAATTTACTTCTCCAAAACCTCCTTCTTCTCCATCACAGGCGTCTGCACCCCGGAAACATCCCCACTCGTCATCTCCCCCACAATCATCCCCTTTCTTCTTCCCCTCTTCCCCGTAATATCCAACGCCATCATCCTCACCGTCCTCACGATACTTTCCCGACCCTCATATAGCGGGAAAATAACCACGCCAAAAGTGGTACAGAACAGCCAAATCAGGCCGACAACGACCCAACCGGTAAAGAACTTCTTGCTGAAGACATACGAGCTGCCGTACATAGGGATGGGCCAGAGAATAAGGAAGCAGAGGACCATGAAGATGGTCAATGTGCGGGAGTAAAGAGCAGCGCGGTTGAGTTTGCGCGTTTCTTCCTCCTCCTGGGCGGCGGACTGGGTATTGATTTCGCCAGGGATGAGTTCGATGTCGATGTGCGCCGCGGCGGCGACGTCGGCGTCGTCGACGCGGCGGATGGCGCGCATGGTGCCGTAGTCGTAGTTTTGAGAGCCGAAGATGAGGGTGAGGATCGGGGAGAAGACGACGGGACTGAGGAGGGCGGCGACGTTGCCGGCGAGCATTGGGTAGCTGGTGCGGGAATTTTGTTAGTTGGTTGTTTGGAGAGACAAAATGTTGGGGTGGACTCACTTTGCGCCTGTCGTAGTGACTGTCAGGATGCCGTATTGTTTCTTGGTTGTCACGAGCCAAGCGATAAGGGAGACGGCGAGACCGAGGGGCGGCGAGGCGGCTGCTGCGATCCAGTTCTGGTGCTTCCAGATGAGGGACATGGCGCCGGGGAAGACTGCAGAGGAGATGATCACGCCCATCAACAGGTAGAGATAACCCATTCCAATACCAGCGTAGTAGAGACCGGTGGAGAAGCCGGCCATGGCGATGGCCCAGAACACACAGGTCATGTGCGAGACCCAGACGAGACGCTTGCCCTTGGCAGATGGGTCGATGTAGGCCTGGTAGATATCGTAGGTGAAAATGGATGAAACGGCAATCAACTGGGCGGAGAAAGCAGAAGTGACTGCCATGAAGATCATGATTGTCGTGCAAACTGCGCCGCTGTAGCCGAGAAGCTTGACGGCAGCAAAGGGCAGTACGAGACCGGCTGTGACGTCGTCGGAGCTCAAGCGTTGAGTGCCCTCCAAGGAGAGAGCAGTCATACCCAAAGTGCTGGCGCACAGCCAGGGAATCGCGAACCAGCAAAGACCACCAATGACATATCCAGGGAAAGCGTGCACGGGGCTCGCGGCAATGGCTTTGTTGTAGTAGCCGTTGTCGAGGAAGACGGTGCTGTTGGATTCGTTAGCAAGCGATTGATGCGGGAAAGTGGTGGCTAACGTACCCAAAGTTGCCGACCAGGTTGATAATCCAGAAGATGCCACCCTCCTTTGACCTCATGGTCAGATAGCTTCCCTCAGCATTACCGTCAACTGGGTGAAGCTTTGATGCTGCTACTAGTGCATCATAGACGGCTCCGGGAGATCCAAGCTTGTCGCTAGTCGCATAGGCAGAGAATGCGAAGATGAAGATGACGACAATGATCACGACGGTGTGCATGTAGTCCGTGATGAACGTCGCCTTGATACCACCGAATAGGGTATAGAGCACGACACCAATCGGCAGGAGGAAACAGGCAGCAACTGTATTAACCCCCGTGAGAGACGTCAAGACGGCAGAACCACCAGTCAGCAGCATGGCGGTAACGAGAATGTTGGTCATCAGGCAGAAGACGATGAAAACAACATGCACGACGGTTCCATATCGAGCACGCAGAGCTTCGAGGAAGGTATGCGCATTTGGAGCCCTCCGTTTGAGCTCAATGGCCAGGGTAGCGAACAAGATGATCTGGACCGTAGCACCTGTATCACCGAATCAGAATGTATTGACCGTGTTGTTGCTGGCTGTAAATACCTGATGCGTAGAAGAAAGGACCCGAGATGCCATATTCGTAGGCCACGGTGGTCGACTGAAGAAGAGTTGCAGCCCATGTCCAACTACTGACGACTGCCGCAGCAACCAAGCCCGACTTGACTGATCTTCCGGCCGTTGAGAACATTTCCGATGTCTGCACTTCATTCTGGTATCTATGTGACCCGTTAGTCTCGCGATCCAATGCTTGAAGAAAAACCAAGTTTGTAAAGGGACTAGACTACATACCGCTTCAAAGCCCAGGTGATGAAAATCATAAGCAGGGCAAAGGCAAACCCTAGACCAATAATGATTCCATAGCCAAACCCCTGCGAGAGAGGCGCTGTGAATGTGACTGTGTCTGAAGACATGTTGGCAGTGTTTGAACACGCTAAACGATGCCTTGCTATGGCTGGACAATGACTGAAGGAGACAAGGCCCTCAGCATGGCGGCAGAGGCAAGAACATATAAGGCACGGGACCCTTGAGAAATCTCCGACCTCGCAGACACGCTGGTGATCGGCGGTAAACTCATATTGAATGACACACTACCAGTCCAATATCATTGGATCCGAGGCGTCAGGCCTGGGGAAGCGAATGGCTGATAAGAGCAACTCCTGGCGGCCGTTTCGTAATGTGCTTTCATCAGATGGGGGTGTAACCTCAATGGCAGTGGACTAGCTCTAGGTGAGTTTAGTACCGAGTAATCTAGTCAGTGTCATCGTTCCACAGTTCCCTAAGCATACACATGGATTATCCCATGCCCTCTCCACTTTCTTTGCAACAAAATCAACAGCCGAACCCCAAGTGGGTTATCAACGTATCGGCTCCGGGCAGCTTATTGGCGAGGCGGAAATGCTTCTTATCAGCGGAGGTCAGCGCAATGACGCCCATTGGTCCGAGTTGGGAGCGGACGATGATAAGAAACCGTAGACTATCAGATAAGGATGTCAGCGAAGTCATGGATTGGTGTGTTGGTGCAGCGTTTCTCTTTGCCAAGAGTTTATGGCTTTATAGGGTGCAGCCTTGATGATAGCGCTCTATCAATTACTTAGTTTACTTACTCGATCCTGCCACTAATGCTTTGGGGGTCTTCCCCACTGCTCTTGACCTTGGAAGCCGGGGAATTTCCATCATTCTTCGATTCCTGTAATTGGTGGGTGTCTGAGTAAGAACAACTGATCTTGCTTTTATCTGATGTATGCCAGATCTCAGAACTGTGCGTAGGGCAGGCCTTGCTTGTGGATATGTCACCCACGTGTACTTCACCCTAGGCTGTTGAGATCTTGGTATGTGGATTAAGTTACAATATATATTATTTCATGCCATTGGATCAGAGTCTATTTGAAAGGGGTGTATGCACAAAATATACATCGCTTGTACATTTCGATACTAATACCGAGTACTTATAAAATCCGGAATGTGATGACAATTCACGATTGAAGTGCCTATGATATAATATGCCATTAACCTACCCCAGCATAATCAGAGATCTAGACCCGCACCAAGTATATATACACCGTGACGATCTAGTACTGAGTTTCCTACTAACCCTCTTAGACTGACACAGCACCACTGTCATGATCTGAATACTAGCACCATTTGCCCATCACTATAGTATACAATGAGTCTAGTCACTGCTAGTAAGCCTCGCATGACTCACCAAGCAACTATAACATCAGCACTAAGTGGTTACTAGTAATAACCACTATTAAGGGACCATCTCATAAACATCCCCAGTCCACCACACCCAGAACCCAACCATCTACCAACACCACAACACCAAAAACACCATGACCACCGAAATCCACCGCACCAACGACCTAACCATCACCCTCTCCCACACACCAACAACCCCAGACCACACCCTCGCAACCCTAACCAGCACCACCAGCACCCTCTTCCTCCTCCCAAAACCCACCTTCATCTCCACCCTCCTCACCCTACGCACCCTAACCCCCATCCTAAAACAAACCTACCACACTCCCCGCATCGCCCTAATAACCTCCGGCAGCAAGACCATCTCCCTCCTCCCGCTCCACGGCCTCCCCTCACCAAACACCTGGACGCCCATACTAAGTCCCGAATCGACCTTCCACGACCCCCAAACCACCACCTCCCAACCCAACTACATAACATCCAAATCCGGGCCGCGCATGCCCTCGGCCCAACTAACCCAACTAGCCAACACCATCACAACCCACACCCTCTCCACCCCAAACTACACCTTCCACGGCCCATCCACAGACACCAACCTCTTCGCGAACATAATCCGCGGCACGGAGCACCCCCAATGGCGTATCTGGGAGGATGAGTCGCACGTGGCGTTCCTCACGCCATACCCGAACACCCCCGGGTTCACGGTGCTAGTGCCGCGGAGGCATTTGGGGAGTGATATATTTGCGCTCGGAGAGGAGGAATATAAGGAGTTGGTGGGGGCGGCGTGGACGGTTGGACGGGTGTTGATGGAGGCGTTGGGGGTGGGGAGGTGTGGGATGGTGTTTGAGGGGTTGGAGGTGGATTATGCGCATGTTAAGCTGGTTCCGGTTTATGGGGAGGGGAATGAGGGAGAGGAGGATGAGAGGGGTGGGGAGAGGGAGATGTTTCAGGAGGTGTATCCTGGGTATGTGAGTTCTTTGCCTGGGCCGGAGGTAGGGGTGGAGGATGTGGAGGAGTTGGTGAGGAGGGCTGGGGAGATTCGGGGGGTGATTGCTGCGCGGGGAGTGTGAGGGATATGGAGTGTGGTTGTGGGGATTATGAAGTAAAGATTGGGACAGGCTTCGCTTCGACGAGTCTCGTTTCTCATTGACAAGCACTATATTACACACAAAACGTATTTCTTCACGGAACTAGGCTCTCCATTAATTGTTGATGGGCACAAGTGCACGGCATAACTTTATAGCGATGATTGTTCCGTCCTATACTGCAGATAGATTTGGACCAATTGTAGAAGCACAAGATCGGCATGTGCCTTCCCCACTACCAGCACACACAAGAAAGAGGCAAGGGACACCAGGGGTATATGTATCGAAGGGCAAAAGGTTGGATGATGGATTCGCTGGCCTCGCTTGATCCTCGCGCTGCTGATCTCGCGCGCGACCCCGAATCATTCGACACGAGCCAGACATATCACGTATTATAGAATCAGGAGACAGCAACAAGGCGAGAGTACAAGTCGCATTTCAGCGGCTTATGCGGAGAACTTGCGGGTGATCTTGGCAATGACTGGATATGCGCGTTAGAGGTCGTTAAATCATCCCAAAACTGCTCAGGGAAAACACTTACCGTGGAGACCAACGACGGAGAAGATGAAGCCCAGACTGAGAACCAGGACAACGACGGGGTCGACCCTCAGACCGGGGCTCTCGTCAGTGTAGAGCTTGAGCATCGTGCCGGAGGAGCCACCAGCACCGGCGGCGCGAGTCGAGCTGGGTCTGGCATTGCGGAGGGACTCCTTGTGGTCAGCGGCCGCGCGACGACGCAGAGCAGCCCGGGGACCACCAGGAGGAGTGGGAGAGGAAGGGCGGTTGACGGAGGAGACAGCAGAGGCGCCGGTGCCAGCGCCAGCAGACTTGGAGTCGGGACCGGACTCAGCACCGGAGGTCATGGGGGAAGCAGCACGGGGAGAGGCCTGAAGAGAATAGAGATGTTAGATGAGGTTGCTCTTAATTTAATTGACTGAAGTTGTCACAATTCGTCGATGGTCTGGTCCAGTTCGCTTGGGAGACAACGATAGCCACCAAGAGGATCGGCAGGACAAGTGTGCTCACCATTTTGAAGAATATGGAGATTCAAGGAGATAAGAATCAAAGAAAGTGAAGCTGAATTAAACAATAATGACAACAAGAAGCACGGAAGCAATTGGCCGATGAAGAGGGAAGGAGTCGGCTGAGAAGTAGAAGAGGAGGAGATACTGGTAGGAGGTCCGGGAGGTGAGGTCGCGAGATGCCAGAAAGAGGCCACGCTCACGATTTCCAGCTGGCGGAAGGTACCGTCATTTACGGTAATGCCAAGAGCTATACCAGAAGAAAGTAGCTTATATAACATAAGTCGGGTGCTTCTTTCACAACAAGTCCGATGTGGTGTAACGGCTAACATCGCCGTCTTTCACACGGCAGCTCGGGGTTCGATTCCCCGCATCGGAGTTCTCTTTTTACTCTTTTTCTTTTACCTTCCTTTCTTCCCGTTTGATCTTCTCATGTGTCATGGATATCTCTCTGCACATAATATAATTTTTACTGATAGCTAAGCTAGTCTGTGGCATCAGTAGTTCTTCTTTGACTTCCATACTACTATGTGTCTTGATCGACTACGAAGCAAGGCTCTGAGCCAATGGCCTATGGTTTTCCTTCATTCTATCACTCTCCACTGCAAATTCTAGACCTTGAAGCTGCTAGGTTGTGACGATCCAAGGTCCTAAGTTTGTAAACTGCTAGATATATTGTGCGCCCGAAGACCAGAACCTTGGATCCGATCTTGACTCCACTCCACAATCAGGCAGGTCAGCTCCGACAAAGTGATGCTTTAGGGACGGATAGCCTAGTCTACGGCTGAAAGGGGCAAAACCACGAGCCCTATGCGTGTCCCTGAAAACACTGTGGAGCAGTTCAGTCTCGCGCGGTTGAATTATCCATTCTTGCGGAGCAGACTCGTTTGTCTACCCGCCACTCACGTGGAAGGATCACTCTTAAGTTGAACCGGCAGAGATCCGGCCCATGGATGCCATTCCAGAACCGCTGGCAGGCAGCCACATAGACGCGACAGCCGTTGGAAGAGTTCTCCTGACATGACGACCAATTAGAACGGATTTTTCGCTCACCCGGCTAGAGTGTACAAGTTGTGAAGCGCAGACAAGACTCGGACTTTCAGACCTGTGTCGCCATAGCAATACTGCCCCAATCTGTGACAGCGGAAAATCTTGGGTGCTTTCCACAATGCCGTTGTTTCACCGGGGCGCACTAAGCACGTCGAATGGCACTTGGAGCAAACAGCAAGGGGAAGCGAAATGCACACTAAAATAGCCACACGCCACTAACTTAGAAGATTTGATGGGCTCACAGACCTGTGGCTTTCAGCACCTTGGTTTGAGAACTGCATTGGTGCTTGTGCTTGCATCTATGGTGAGACCGGAGTCACCGGGAATCAATGAAATTCCCAGATAGACGGAGTATCTTTGCTTCGTATCTGCTATTTGTTGTGTATACACGTTATCAAGTCTAGCTAATTCGTCGGTTCGGCGTCGACTCCGACAATAAGGTTAGATGGGTACGTAACCCGGGCGTGAGAAGAGGCTTAAATGTCGTTATGCGTCTGCCTAAGGCAAATTCTGTCGACCTGGATCTCTTCCAGATGGTTCATGGTTCATGCAGAA